AATGGGGTAGGGCAGTTTCTTGGGGAATTAATGATTAATGTGGCTATAACTTTGGAAATCTCATAGCTAACGCCCCTATAGTGGAAGAGAGAAAAAATCTCTCTTCCACTATAAGAAATGGATGAAATTCTTGGGCTGGGACAGTCTGAATGCAGGTGCATGGATTCAGCTGAGAGGTGTCCCATGCAGATATTGGAAGCTGAGGTCTATGAAAAAGCAAGGAAGCAGGGCAAGCAAACCCAGCACATTTCCTCACACTCTTCCAACCTCCAATCACTTGCACTTCAGTGTCTTCCTGTGATGGATGTGCTTGCTGTGTATTCAGGAACAGTCCTCTCTCTTATCAATATCCCAGCTACTTCTTCAGTGCACCTGTGAGTAGAGGGAGCTTGCTGAGATTTATAGAATCGTTAAGGTTGGAAAGATCACTGAGCTCATCTAATCCAACCACCAACCCTTCCCTGCCATGCCCTCTATCCATGTCCCTCAGTGCTACATCTACCCTTAAACACCTCCAGGGACGGTGACTCCAACACCTCCCTTGGCAGCCTGTGCCAGTGCCTCACAACTCTTCATAAGAAGAAATTTTACCTAATATCCAACCTGAACCTTGTCATCCCAAATCCAGCAAGAAAATTCTCTAACTCCAATGTGGTGTTAGACAGAAAGAATCCTTTATTCCGCATGATACCTACTGGGCGACTTGATAAACAAGCACACTCTCAGAGTTCAGGTTCTACATTTAAATGTAAACAGTTAAGACCTACATATGCAGTACATTGGCATTCATATTCATTATTTTCTATTGGTATATGCTAATGTCCCTCTGGGCTTGCATGGTAGCATCCAGGATGGTCATACCCCCACTTACTTCATCCTCATTTTTGTCCACCATCAGTTTCACCACTGAGGCTTTTGGCTGACATTTAGCTGTTTTTTCCCAGCTTGGCAAATTCCCACTACTTGTTAGGCCATAATGAGTAACTTCCAAAGCAGTACATGTGAAAATCCAAAGAAAATGTCCTTGTACCTGGCGAAATGCAGAGATAAGTATTGTATTATGATTCCAGTGCTTCTTGTGAAGCAGAATTAGGCTGTTCACACACCAAGCAAAATTGAAACAGAAAGTTTTAGAATTAGTACTCAGTAGTACTTGATCATTAGTACTTGATTCTTCTTGCTAAATTAATATATTGGTCTTTAAACTAATATATACTGATCCCTATTGCTAAACAAACCAGCCTGTATCAACTTCCCCTGGCACAGCTTGAAGCCACTACCATTCATTCTGTTAGGAATATGCTCTGCTGCTGCTGCTGCTTGCTGTAGGCTTGGGGAAAACAGGCTTTTCCACACATTCTTTGCAAATAAAAAGGAGTATAGGAAAAACTATCCCGAACATAAGCTAAGGGTTCAGGCCAAGGAGCATTAGGAATGTGAGCAACAGGCAGGAAGCTGTAAGTAAGAGAATTTGTGCCAAAGCAGAACAGGAGAAAGATGCTAGGAGAGTTGTGAGACAGCAAAGTGGAGCTACATGTTAAATGGGATCCAGGCAAGCTGCAAAAAGATCCGAGAAATTGCCATTAACTAACTCATTACAAGACTTTGAAAACCCATGTTGGGGTTCCAGCTGCCAGGTGTGTGTGGTAAGTGGCAAACCCAACAAGAAAATCCTGGTCTGAGAAAGGCAGTTTTGCTGGAAGGGACCAGACAAGAGGAGTCTGGCTGCAGAAGCTGAGAATCATAAAATCATGGAATGGTTTGGGTTGGAAGGGATTTTTAAGAAGCTAAGGAATGTGATGTTGTGCAAAAGAGGTTTCCAGTACTCTTCTAACCGTCTGATAACCTCTAGTGACCCAATACAAGGAGACCAGATTGTCAGCGTCAGAAATACCATCAGGGGCTGCTTTGGACCTCATGGGGCCTGGCAATTGCAGTCACTGCCCTTCCCATAAGAGGGCCATAAAATGATTGTGTAAGCTGCAGAACAAGAGACAAAATGAGCACTAGCCTCCACCCAAAGCAAGGGCAAACAGAAAGGTGCTTGGGAATGAGAAGCATCTGGGAGCTGGTGGCTTTAGCTCAGTGCTGTTTTGGGTGTAAGACAGCAGAACTAGCAGAGAATTGGGAAAAAGGCTTAAGAATGGATGTGATATAGAGCCTGAAGTAGACTGGTTCTGAAGAGGGTGATACTGGTTAGTTGGTGTGAATGGCAAAGACAGTGGGGGAAAAAGGAAGACTGTCTTCAGGTCAGAAGCATTATGAAGCACAAGTTTGATGCTTACAGTGTGAGATTACCAGCAGACCACCAGCACAGTTTGCTTTACCCAGACTCTTGGTTATATAGAGGAGACCTTGACATACAGTAAAGCCTCTGAAAGGAAAATGAGGCAAGGGAAACTTATAAACCCAAGACAAGCCTTAAGAAAGTGATACTTAGGTGCAGCAAAAGGAGCTGTTTTCACTTCTGGGAAGAAAAATGCAGCTGTGTCATACAGGCCAACTTCCTCCACAGTTTGACAGCCAGCCTTTGTCACTGGCCACAGAAACGTTTGCCATTTGCGGGTGGCTCATCATGACTCACCAAGAAGCTGGCAGGCTCTAGCAGCCATGGCTGTCTCCTGTGCAGAAATGGAGTGGAAATATCTGAACTACAGAGAAACCCAAGAAACTCCCCAAAAATCCACCCCTCAAAGCTTATCCTTTAGCTACAGAAAACTTGCAGCTTCTGAAACTGAGACTCATAAGTATGGCTTGTGCAGGAATTTCATCAAGTTCTTTTTCAAGGCTTAATAACGGGTCTGACCTGGTAAGAAAGACTCTCAAAGGTCAACAGGTGCCTACCAGGAACCTCTGAAAGATAAGTCACTGGAAGAGTAAAAAGATGAAACAGGCATCAAACTGTTTTGTGTGAAAAGATATGAGAGGTGGAACACATGCCAAAAAGTCAACTGCCACAGATTTATAATTTAAGTGCTTTTCCTTCCTATTTAGGGTCAATCACAAAATTATTGCACAAGCACTTTTTCCTTCCTGAGTGCTCCTGGACTATTTTGAGCTTACCAAAGTTGCAGTGTAATGGTAACTAGAAGAGATGACAAGCCTATTTCTAAATGATGACAGAGTTCTTTTGTTAGTGTTTTCTTACAATTCCTGGGTGTGACAGGATCCCCAGGCCAGCTAAAGCCAAGCAAGGTGATACAGTAATAGAAACAATCAGAGGAAATAGAGAAGGAAAGGAGCTAGAAAATCACCAGGTCTGGACCAGTATGACCTGTAAAGCAGCTGAAAAAGCTGTGCCCAACCTGCTCCTCAAAACCATCAAAAGAAAATTCCAGCCTCTTCAGACCATCTAATCTACAGTCACCTGCTTAGCACTACAAAGCTTCTCTAATGTCTGATCTTCACCTCCACTGATGCTATCTATGCTGATTAGTTCTTCTATCCACAGAGAATGCGGAGAATCATAAAATCACTTGAGTTGGAAGGGACCCTTCAAGGCCATCTAGTTCAGCTCCCCTGCCATGAACAGGGACACTTAGATCGGGTTGCTCAGAGCTCCATCCAGCCTCACCTTGAGTGTCTCCAGGGACGGGGCATCCACCGCCTCTCTGGACAACCTGTGCCAGTGCCTCAGCACCCTTATGGTAAAATACTTCTTCCTTATATCCAGCTTAAATATCTTCTCTTTTAGTTTGAAACCATTTCCCTTTGTCCTATCACAACAGACTCTACTGAAGAGTCTGTCCCCTTCTTCCTTACAGCTCCACTTCAGATACTGAAAAGGCACTTTCAAGTCTCCCTGGAGCCTTCTCTTCTCCAGGCTGAACAGCCCAAGCTCTCTCAGCCTGTCAGAATCAGCTACTCCCTTTCATATTTGCATCAGGCTTTGCTCCAAATTTTTATATATATACAAATTATATATATATATATATATATACAAACACAATGTTCAAAGACTTTCTGGTTTTTCTGATTTTTTTTTTCCCCACTAGATAAGTACATATTATTTCAGTCATTCCTGACAGATATTTTCCAGATCTTCACGGGCTTTCTGCTTGTTCTGCACCCAGCAACAAGTCGCAGAGCCAGAACTGTGAGCAATGCAGGCAGCAGGCTGTGGGCAGCTGTGCTTTGCAGATCAGCTTGCTCGCAGCCTGCAGGTGGAGTCGTGTTCTTCCTGTGACTGCTGGGGCACCTATAGTTGAGGACAGACTCCCAGTTTGTGCAAACAGCTGAGGCTTAACACTATGCATCTTGGAATTAATTTTCCTCCAGCAAGCCAGGCCTGTTACTGGCTTTGGATTACATCTGTAAGTGGTAGTGCTCAGTAGAAGACAAAATCTGAAAGCCCCAGTGGCCAGACTTCATGCTCCCAAAGGTTCATATTTGTTAAGTTAGTAAACACCCAAATCCATTGTGAGCCATCTTTGGGCACTCCTCTAGTGCAAATAATAGTAGCATGAGTACATTTGTGCTCTGCTGTTATGCACATCAATCTGCATTATGAAACCTTATCTCCATGCCTTGTCTCTACCAGTATAATCTATAAAATGCAGTTGTATTTAACAAAGGAACACCAGTTTCTCCGTCACAGCTAGCCTGTCCTCTATTGGAACATATTTAATTACAACTCACTTTTCCTGCACAAGAGGATAGATGAACAGTGAGGAGGATGCAGCGCTGCTGCTCCTGAGCAGCTGGTGAGGGGTGGTTTTTCACACAGGTAAGTACAGGTCCCCGCTGGAAATTAATTGGAAAAGGGATCAGAAAAGCACTCTGCATTGGAGCAGTCGTGTTTAAGTTGAGAATTGTGTGCTCTGCTGGAGACCAGAGAACCTGACACGCTTCTGCTTTCTTTGTATTGAAAAGCCTGCTGCAAATTCAGGCCAAAAATGAAGTTCCCGCAACATCAGAGGCTCTGTGTTTGAAGCCTGGGAGCACTGCAAGATGATATCAGATGCGACCGTGCGCTGTCTGGCCTTTGGTGTTTGTGCAGACAGATGTGCTCATGTGCTGCATGTGATTAGATTACTTGATAGTTTTAGTGAACCATGTGAGCTGAGCTAGCATTTCCCTCGATGTGTCACTTCGTCTCTCCTCCCACTCGCTGCAAGCACTGCCGCGATGTGACTGTCCGGTGTCAGCCCTGTGCCTGCCTCGGAGCTCCTTTTCAGGTAGGTTTGTGCTTTCTTCCTTTTGAACAGCCACTTTATTGCTGGCTGGCAGGTGTGGGAATGCTCTGAACAGCAGAGAAGGGAGGGCAGGAGAGGGCAGATAGAAAGAAACTCCAACTGTTCCTCTGCCTGACTCTGCTTTCTCCTTTCCTGTGGTACACTGTGGATACACACCTTCTAGCTCAGGCAGGGCATATAAGGCACAGGATAGAGGAGTACACTGCCAGGCAGAGCTGTTTCAAGAGCTTTGTGGAGACTGTGCACATTGCATGGCACTTAGGAGCAGCACAAGACTGAGGGAGTTTCATTCTGATGCGAGGAGCGAAGGATGGGGAGTGCCTTTATGTGCAGAGGATGTGGTTACCCGGTTCAGAGGATCTGAACCAAAAAAAAAACCTGAAAAAAAACCCCCAAAACAGTGAGGAGAAATTGCTTGCTTGCAGTAGCCTCTCTAGATTTTTAACTGGTGCTGCTTCAGTCTGCCAGCTTTGTGTATGAGGGATGTGAAAATGAATGTCGTGATACAGATATTTCTGTCCTAACAACATAATAGAAAATGCCAGATAACCCCAAACAGATGTAGAATATGTAATGTTTGTCACTACTAACCAGGGCCAAATAGGAATTTGCAACCATGATGTGCAAAGCCCATGCACCTTGCTTTTTAATTTGCTAGCAAATTAGCTGAAACCAATTACCTATATTGATTAAGCCAGAAGCATTTTACTAAATGCTAACTATATTCCTAGGATAAAAACCCTTGGTGACTGGAAAGGTCTGTTCCCATTCATCCCCAGGGAAGTCATTTCAATAGCTAATCTTACTGCTGAGTGTGTTTCCACTGTGTGAACTGTACTAAAATCTTCTTTAATGCTGCAATGAGAATTGCCACAATGAAGGTCCAGGGAACAATAAAAAGAAGCTGCGCTGCAGATCTAATTCAGCAGCAGATTTAGCTCTACCAGCACTCCTCCTATATAGCCTCTTGAAATGCATAGTATAGTTGATCTCTTCTGCCCAGTAACACTGTTTTTGCATTCAAAATATGCCAAGGTCGAATACAACCCACGCCATGAGAAAACATAGATATCATGGTTTTTTTCCATTGCAGTTGCTCACGTGGCTTGAGTGCTTTACTTCTTCGTTTCCTTCCTCTCTGTGTGCATGAACATGTGTGTGATTTCTGCCTGTAACCCAAGGTATGGCTATTCTTTCAGAGGAATCATCACAAGGTAGAACTAGTTAGAAGCAAAAATGAAACAAACAAAGCAAAAACAAGACAAAACAAATACTTTTGATAGCTTGGATTTCCACGGCAATTATTTGCATATATGTTTTCAGATTTTCAGATACATGCATATACATGTATACATAAATATACATAGTTCTTAAGTCCTCCTCTTTTAGAAGCACCTGAGCTGAGTTTCAACAAAACCCAAACACTCTGGAGGATCTCAACCTTTGGTACTTTGGAAAAGTTGCCTGAGCTCTCTGCCATAAACTGAGATATCCCCAAGGAAATCCTGACTCCTGCAGAACAACTGACACACCTTCTCCCCGTTTGTGTTACTGAGGTGTTTGTCTGTGTTTACTCCTATAACAAATTATTAGGAAGTAGCAGTGTTTTGAGGTCTGGGCAGGTCTGTGCACCCTGGGACAGCATTCACTAATCATGTGTGAATTTTCCTTCACGGTGCTATTTGCTGTGTATTTCTTTGCTAGAGTTGGACAATGATGTCAGCTAAGTATTCACCTCTTTGAATCCTCCCTTAACAAGCTCTACTGTTGGGCTGTGATGGCATTTTCCAGTTGACTTCTTGGCAGCGTCTGGCTGTTCTCCATTATTGCCTGGGACTTTTGCACACCTCCATTCCAGACCTTTGTCTCCATCAGAGCCAAGTGTTGGTGAAGAAGACTACACTGGAAGAAGCTCAGCATGACCATGACTGCTCCTACTCATTCTTGACTCCCCAGAGAGAAGTTGCTCTTGAAGAAACTGCAATATATGAGCAAGCTTAACTTCCAGTTCTGTCCAGTGTTCTGCATTGGTGAATCTTCTGAGGGACATTCTGGGCACAAGTATCTTCTGTTACAGCTTATCACTGGACCTGATGGGGCTGAAGCCACTGCAGTCCTAAGTAGCTTTGAACTGAGTGTTTGGGATCAGGATGGGAAGAAACAGCCCCAGAGGGCACCAAGAAGAATCTGCCAGTGCCTGAGATAGACTGTGTACACAAGTTGGATGGTATTTCCACCTTTGCACTGTAGCACATTGGATTGCCTAATCAAAGCATTTATTGGTGCAATCTCAGATAATCTAACATTGTTGCAGTGTTATCTGATGTTGGATAAAGCTTAACACGATGTTGGAAAAAGCTTAAATCCCCAAGAAGTGCTGTTTTATGTCAGGAGATCCACATTAGCAGACTCACAGTTGGGAGTGTTACCAGTCATTTCACCTCAGGCAGAGTCACGCCACAATCTCTGACTGCATGAGTATGGCAATGTACCCGATGCATGCATGGCTCTCAGAAACAAGAATGTCTTGTTAGGAAAACAAAGGTTAGCTTAAATAGTTTCAATAGTAGGAACCAAGCCTGGTTCCTTGTAATGTGTGTAAGCCAGGAGCTCAACACAACTAATACACGACAGAAAAAATTTTGCATGTTTCAAACGTACATATGAATAAAAACATTGCTTCAATATTGTTCTGATGTAATTCTAGACAGAGGCAAAAAGATTCTTAGGCTTCATGCAAACGAGTGTTGATAGCCTTATATGGTGTGCTGCACAAACCTGTCACAATTCTTGAGCAGCAATGACTGATGAAACAGAAAAAAAGTTCCTATAAGTGAAAAAGAAATAAGTTATAGAAAAGGTAAATCTGAGGGTTTTTTTTCTGTTATATTGCACACATAGGTGTTTCATGGCTGGTTAATTCTTAAAAGGAGAGGGAAGAAGGAGCAATTAAGAGCAAAGCCACAAATTGTATTCAGAGGTAACAAAGTACATGGTAATTATTTAAGTTGGTAATTATGTGATATGTCTGTTTAATCTTTAGGGTGCTGTGGAGGAACTTCTGTCAACAACACGGTCTTTACTTGTGGTGCTCCCACATCAATGATGACTACAGATCTATATTAAAATCAAGACATCAGCTGGATACTGTGCATTGACCTGATGGATGCATTCTCCAGCATGAACCAAGAACAGAAAATGAAATTAACTCTTTGGGGTGTCTGATCTGACCTTCTTGTAGGTTTTCACATGTGACTTCTTTTTCAAGCAGCAATGAGTGTACTCAGATATTACTTCTTTGTCGTCCTGATTTTCAGTGTTTCCCTTCCATTTGTTTTCTATGCCATTACTATACATGCACAAAAATCTCTCAGGAGGCTCAAGTTCTCAGTGAGTTCAACTTTAGTAGAAGACTGTAAAGCACTTACTAAAGATAAGGTGTCCTTTCTGAAGGAAAATGCTTTAAAAACATCCTTCAGAATACTCAATTGCACTGAGTACATCACACAGAATCACTACATCACCCGCGTGCTGTCAGCCGAGGAGGCGGCCTTCCCCCTGGCCTACATCATCACCCTGCACAAGGAGTTTGAGACCTTCGAGCGGCTCTTCAGGGCGGTCTACATGCCCCAAAACGTCTACTGCATCCACGTGGATGGCAAGGCGCCGGCCGCCTTGCAGCAAGCGGTGCGGCGCCTGGTGGGCTGCTTCCCCAACGCCTTCCTGGCCTCCCGCACGGAGCGGGTGGTCTATGGCGGTGTGTCCCGCCTGCGGGCCGACCTGCACTGCATGAGGGACCTGCTGGCCTCGGCCGTGCCCTGGCGCTACCTGCTCAACGCCTGCGGGCAGGACTTCCCCTTGAAGACCAACTGGGAGATCATCCAGCATCTGAAAGCCTACAGGGGGAAGAACATCACTCCCGGAGTGCTGCCACCAGCACACATCACTGCACGCACCAAGTATGTGCACCGGGAGCAATTATATTCTTTCTTTTCCTTCATGCTGCCGACGTTTGTACGCAAGGCTCCTCCACCACACAACCTGACCCTCTACTTTGGTTCTGCGTACATTGCAGTCACCCGGCCCTTTGTAGAGTTTGTGCTGCAGGACCCGCGTGCCATCGACTTGCTGGCGTGGTCTGAGGACACCTACAGCCCCGATGAGCACTTCTGGGTGACGCTCAACAGGATCCCAGGTGAGCACACTTTCTGTTTAGTTTCCTGAGGATACATGCCCACAGTAATGGGTGTACACACAACATACACACGCACTTCACACTGACTTTAATTAAGTATACATCGCTGAATAGAATCATAGAATCATCCTTCCAGTTGCCGGGAACAGTATTGAGAGGAACAGGCAAAGCCAGCTGATCCACACATGGCCCTGAGGCTGATATCATTGGCACAGTTTTGGGTTTCTCTATCATGAGATGATCTACACAATATCGGGGCTGCTGGCAGCTGATGGGATGCATCTTTCTTAGAGGGGGAATAGGATTTCTGCACAAGAATTAACTGGGCTGACTGACAGAGCTAGATTGACAGAACTAGATTTGAAGGGGGAAAGGGATGAAATCAGACTTGCCTGTGATAAGCTATGGGATGGCATTTCAAAATTTGAGGGACTGCATGCCGGTGAGATCCTTCAGTCTGCTCTTGAAGTGCTGGGTACAAGGAAGAAAATTTGAGATGTTTCTATACCAATGAAGAACAAACAAGAGGAGTCAAAGCCTTGTTTCAGTCCACGAGCAATGATATCATTGGCATAAGCAAAACCTGGTGGGCAGAGCCCTGTAACTGGTATGTCGTGATGGACAACACTGAGCCCTTCAGTAGGGACAGGCAGGGCAGGTGATGCTGGGAATGACTGTGAAGGAGGGGCTGGGCTTTACTGAGCTCGTAGCTGACAATTGCATGGTTGGGAGCTCTGAGCAAATAAAGTGGATATCACTTTTCCCCTGCTATAGGCTACCCAGCCAGGATGATGACACTGATGAACTATTCATTAAGGAACTAGGATATAGCTCTAGATCAACCACCCTTAAGTTTATGGGTGACTTCAACTTCCCAGGTGCAATTGAGAATGCCACACTGCTAATACATAGAGGTCCAAGAGATTCCTAAAATATCTTAATGATAGCATCTTAATGTGCCGTTTCTTTACTAAGGGTGAGATCTAAATGTTTACTGACCCCAAAAGAGGAAATTTCCTCTGCTCTTTCACTTCTCTTCAGCTTTACATGAGAAAACGTATACACAAAATGTATGAATTTAAAGATCTGCCACTTTTGAAATAGAAGTGCCTGATATGAAAGCCTTTACTTCTAGATCTTTGCCTGAAAGAGGCAGACTAACATCTGACCTGGAACACCCAAGGCTGGGACATCCCTTGGTCATGTACATCCTTCCACAGAATTGGTGAATGGTCACCTGTAGTAAGGGAAGTCGGGGGGTTTGCAGGGAAAATGCTAGGCCAGAATCGCTTTTATTCCTCATTTGTGCAAGAAGCTTACAGCTGTGAGTATGTGTCCCAGAGAGAGGAAAGAAAAAAAGAAAGGCTCCCTACGTCATTTTTGCTCATATATCAATGATTGGGATGTAATGAAAAGGATGGATACTTTTATTAGCAAGTAGTGTTTTAAATCACTCTCAGATTTCAAAAGTACATCTGCACCATCCTGACGGCAATATTTCAGTTAGGAGCTGAATAGCAGACAGAAAAATAAGGACAGTTGGCATACAGTATACCTCAGGTAATGGCAGACATGTGGCAGGTAATGCTGTGAGCCAAGCTAAGGATACAACCAAGGCAGATGGGAGTTCTCTTTGTGCAAGCAAAGTCACATAAAAAATTTAAAAACAAAGAACTGGTTGATGTGGTTCATTAATGTGTTAGCATTGCTACCCAGCATTTTCTGGTATTATTCTTGTCTCATACCCACAACCAAAGGACATGAACAAGATGTTCCTTGAGAGCCACCAGCTCTCACGTGACTCTGGAATTACTGCTGCAGATAAACTGAAGTTTCAACAAATAGGCCTACTTTGTTGTTGTGGTTTGTTTGCTGTTTTTTTCCATCTCTATATATAATTTATCACACACCAAGCTTCTCACTACAGCAAGTTAATCACTCATTACTACTTTGGTAACTCTCGATTCCTCCATTGTTTCTAGAGATACTCTTGCAATGACCTTTTTAGCAGTGCATGCATCATACTAATGTGCCACTGTGGTTGAGTTTTGCCTCCCAGAATTGTTTCTTTTCTTTTCTTTACGTTAATGCCCACCCTTCAAAAGACACATGTAGACAGAAAGGCAGAAGCTTTTTGTATGATTCCAGTCAGTGACGCTAGTTGAATAAGCGATGCTCTCTAGAAGGAAGTATTTTGTATCTATGTCTGCAGCATTACTCATATAACTAACACTTGTGCTTTTGTTTGCATTTTCCGTTCTTTAATGAGGTTTCCTGTTTGAGCAAACACTTCTTGTAGAAATAAGGTATAAAAAAAAGAGATTTTCCTGTAACTGTTATTGAGTCTTATGCCCACAAAGCTGTTGCAATCTCATAATCAAAACCTTTGTCTCTTGCCAGATCTGCTTAAGGAAGATGTTGCAATGCAGCAAATACACCTGCCTTATGGCAGAATTTCCAGAAAAAATATTCTTGTCCTGTATCCTCCATTTAGGCATTACAGTTTATCACAAAATATAGGATTAAAATATGGTTAAGTCTAGATGCAGTCTTTAGCTGTTAATTTAAGTGTTGCTTTAGTGCAAATTTTCTCCTACTGAAGCCAAACTGCTTTACAACCAATCTTTTGCTTTGCACTAGAATACTACATAGTGATGACAGAGTAAGGAAAGACATGACTTCAAGGCTTTCTGAAAAGCCATCAGCTAATAAATGGACTTGCACTCCTTTGCCTGATTCCCCAGTATCTTTGTATCTATCACACACTGGTGTAACAGGGTTCAACGGGCAGCTCCTTGGAAAGCAGAAGCAGAATTACAGCACTTTAAAGAAGTGTTTTCATCTAAACACAAACTCATCTGACCACAATGAAAGTTGTGTTGCACGTGTTGAGAGACAAACCCTGCAGCCAGCTGCCAGCCTAGGCAGCGGCACTGGAAGACACCAGAGCCACGGATGCTGGAAAAAAGAGCAAGTCCTGAACAGCAGTGCCTTAATTCAGACCGCTGCCTTGAATGAAGCAGCTTTCAACATGCTTCTGTTCCCCGGGGTTTAATTTCCTTCTCAACGAGTTGTGAGGTCTGCTTTAAAGCTTCCCAATCTTGAGTTCATTTTAAATCCCACCCTTGCCTACCAAATTTACTGTTCTAGAGCCTAGATGGCACCACAAGGACAGACCTCCTCCAGGGTCAATGAGCTGTTAACGGGCCTTACCGGCCCGGCCCCTCGGGCTCACTGCCTGCCGCCCGGCAGCAGTTCCAGCCCGCAGGCCCCGGCCCGCGCTCCCCGTGTCAGGGCCGTGCAGTGCCGGGCGGCCATGCGGCGACGTCGGCTAGCGATGAGTCTGACGGTGGCTGTGGTACTGCTGGGTGCCGCCGCGCTGCTGAGGCGCCGTGGAAGGAGCGGGGCAGGCGCTGGTAGCTCTGCTGAGGGCGCGGCGCTAGAGCGAGCGTGTGGCACGCTGCTGGCCGGGCAGGCTCCCAAGCTGCAGGATGGGGGGCTGCGACCTGCGGCCAGGGACGACTCCTGCAGCAAGTACGTGTCCCACAGCCACTACATCACCCGCGTGCTGTCAGCCGAGGAGGCGGCCTTCCCCCTGGCCTACATCATCACCCTGCACAAGGAGTTTGAGACCTTCGAGCGGCTCTTCAGGGCGGTCTACATGCCCCAAAACGTCTACTGCATCCACGTGGATGGCAAGGCGCCGGCCGCCTTGCAGCAAGCGGTGCGGCGCCTGGTGGGCTGCTTCCCCAACGCCTTCCTGGCCTCCCGCACGGAGCAGGTGGTCTACGGCGGTGTGTCCCGCCTGCGGGCCGACCTGCACTGCATGAGGGACCTGCTGGCCTCGGCCGTGCCCTGGCGCTACCTGCTCAACGCCTGCGGGCAGGACTTCCCCTTGAAGACCAACTGGGAGATCATCCAGCATCTGAAAGCCTACAGGGGGAAGAACATCACTCCCGGAGTGCTGCCATCAGCACACATCACTGCACGCACCCGCTTCATGCACCTGGAGCAGGGTGGGAGCAACGTCTCGGGGCTGGTCACCCCCCAGGTGCACAAGGCTCCTCCACCACACAACCTGACCCTCTACTTTGGTTCTGCATACATTGCGGTCACCCGGCCCTTTGTAGAGTTTGTGCTGCAGGACCAGCGTGCCATCAACTTGCTGGCGTGGTCTGAGGACACCTACAGCCCCGATGAGCACTTCTGGGTGACGCTCAACAGGATCCCAGGTAGGCTGTGGGGTCCTGTCTAGGCATCCAGATGGTTTTGTTACTAATCTCACTAAAATAGACTGATGGCAGAGTGTCAGCTGATTGTGGTGGTCCACCACAGCTCTCTTCACCATGGAAGTACTTCTCAGTGACGTTCACCACTAGGTTGTCATCACTCCTGCAGGTTTATGTAGAAGATCACCCTGATGGGTGATAGCCTGTGTTAGCAACACTAGTGACAAACCACGGATGATATACTGAGCAATCCCAAATTTATCTTCCTGGGGATTTCTTCACTTGGCCACACTGTCTTTTGGTGGGAATGGCACCTATAAATGGGCAGCGTGGTGAGTCCAGTGAAATAATAGCTTTTCTGCTCAGCCAAGCCTTGTCCTCCAATGGCACAGGCCTGAAATAGGCTTAGGTTATAGCAAGCTTCATTGATGTTTGAGCTGTCTATGTTAAGGTCTTCCTGGTGTCCTTGAAGAGTGGAAATGGACAGTCCCTGCTTTGAGGAATGACTCTGTTTTGTCATATTGGCTCTTTAGTCCCACGTGTATTTGCAAGTAATATATTTGTGCTTCAAAAGCCACTGTAGGGATTTGTGAATTTTCAGATCCAACTGCACACCTTTGTTCATGGAAGAGAGGGTGTGCATATCTTGCACCAAGCCTGGAGTGTTTCCCAAACATAAATATCTGGCCTCAGAGTCCAGCACAAGTTACTATCATTTTCAGTATGTTCTACAGAATCACCAAAGGTGATTTGTGCACTGTTTCACTGTTTTGAGTGGATTTATGAAGTGTGTCTTGGTCAACCTGATGTGCTGGGTGAGGGTACAGAAGGATTTTCTGTTCACCAGCCTAGAAAGCACAAGAGAAAAGCTTAGATCAGTTGATGGTGCAGAAGTGTAAACTCATCTCCTTCCGTAAAGAGAGCTGCAAATGAAGAAGCATAAATTGCTATTGAAGACTGACTACCAGCTTGGCTTTAATTGGGTATATCCTGGAATTACAGGTAAAGGACTTAAAATTTCAGAGTAAATCAGGCAGCCTTTTATCCTATTGTATTTCCATCTGAATATGAGTTTATGTGTGATTACAGAAATGCAAAAGCAGTGGCTCATTTTGTGTAAGATAGAGATGTCTTTCTTGATGATAGCTGGTAGTTGGTGCAAGAAGGAAAGGGAGTGGACTCCTTTTTTGAGCCAGCGCATGCAGATCAACTCTCATTGGGATTTGAATGGCAAAAAGAAAAAAAAAATGAGGAAAGGAGAATCTTAGTTGAGGAACATATTTTGCTGTGCCCTGTGGTTGTGGTCAGTGTTCAAAACTGGAGTGTGTTTTTCCTACCACCACACCTGTGTCTGTGTGCTCAGCACAGTGAAATGCTACTCAGGGGAGAGGACTGGGCTTTGCTTCCCAAATGGTGTTTTGCAGCCACCAGAACTGCACTGGTGTGTTGTGAACTCAGCCACAGCTGACTGGAAAAACGGGCCAGCCCCTCCAACACTTTTACTTTCATTTCTTCCCTTGGCGCGTACTTCAAATTCACTTATTTTGCTGCAGATACTTTCAGATTCCTGTCACATACATGGGTGATCCAAGCCGTGTGAGATGAGAGCTGAATAAAAGTAGAGTGAGGAGCTCACACCTGAATTTATATTAATGCTTACCACCAGCATAACTCTTCAGACAAAGTGTTTTATTAAAAGGTCCTGAGAACGACTTCTGAATATGAAATCAATTGGTAAGGATTTGACAAAGATATAAAGGAAAATGTGGTAAACCCATTTTTTTTTTTTTTTTTTAAGTGCTGAGCTATGTTATTCTTTACTCTTTAATTAACTTACAAAAATGCCTAGTTTACTTAATTTGAGAGCTGGTGAACAACCTGAAGTCAGTAATTTTGTATTCCTAGAAGGCAGTGCCTCCCATTGTTGTTGTGGATGTCCCGAGGTTGTTCCTGTTTTGTCAGTCATCTTTCTTCCTTCCTGCAGCCTCAGCATTTCCCAGAGTTTATCATCACACCACGCTTACTGCCAGCTCTTGTGAGCAGGTTTCTAATTTGGAATGACAACGCATGTCCCAGGCCGTTTGAAGAGCATATCCCCTGCCATCACTGCCTCTTTTTGTCTTTTATCAAGTGTTGTCTCTATGTGAATGCTTTCTGCCATAGAATAACATCTTCTGAAATTTCCCCGGGACAAAATCTCACTTTGGCATGTTATTTTATTTGATAATAGGCCAGTACGCAGAGGAGGAGAAACAAGATTGTGATGTTCTGCTGGCAGGTATCTCTGTTTATAGAAAACTGCTGCAGTGTTTCTGCTGTTGGATCAAGTGGTGATATTTGAAAGCACCTATCCATAGTTATGAAGAAATCCCTACCTTATGAGGAACGCGCTATCCTTAAAAACCCAACATAGAGAAAGAAAAAGGAAATAAAAACCAAAAACTGATGCTTAACTTTTCTCCCATCAAATCTCTCAAAAACAGAACAACAAGAGTGAATAAACCCTTGACAATTACACAGTGCCTTTCTTTGGGTTCACTTTTGCCCTTCACTGTGCTCTCTTCAAGCTCACAGGCAAAACAGTTGTTAGGTTGCAGTTACTGTGAAGATATTGTGCTTAATGCCACTGGGGAAGGAAACAAAAGAACCAGAAACTTCCTCTACTTTCATCTTTCCTTTTCATAGAACACTGAATTATCACTGGTTTGATGAGCATTTCAGTTACCATTTCAGCACTGAACGTGGCTTCTTATTTGTTCTCCCATTGCTATTTGAGATTATGGTTTACAGAGCTATTAGCAGATCACCTCTGTTAGGATTGCAGCTCACTAGCAAAATGAATTATCTAGATTAATACACAGTTTAAATGACACTATGAAAATCAGAAAGAGGGCTAATTGCTACTGAAGAAAAAGGGCAGAAGTGAGGATTAAAATACCTGCTTTACTTTTCTTAAAACTGTATTTGGTGGACTCAGGTCCTACAATTCCAAATCAAGGTGTTTTGTTCAAGTTTTAAAATGCTTGCTGTAAACTGAGGAAAATTACTGTGTTTTTGGTATGTATGTATGATAAGTATGTATGAAATAATATTGCTGCTACTCAAGAGACTGCCAGGGGAGGGAGCTGCAGCTGCAGCTTGCAGCTGCCTCACAGTGCATGGGGAGCAGCCAGAGTGATGTAAATCCTCTCCTCCCTGACCAGCGCTACCAGTCAGTGCTGTTACTTCTACTGCATTTGTTAAAGCTCCTGACTTGCAGGTACTCCTACGCTAAATTCTTTGCATTTGAGCAAGTTACTCTTTTCGTCTTGTAGCAGAAATGCTGTCAGGGCTTGAAGCACTGATTGAGCACCTGCTGAGAAGGCAGGGCCAACCCAGAGGAGCTCAGGTGCAGGCAATGCACTGAGTGGAAGGGGTGGAACCAGGATCCACGCCTTCCCAGATCTCATGTTAAAGGTTGATGGAAACAAGGGTATCTTGTTTAGAGGTCCTTGCCTACCTGAGGTCTTCTGAAAGTAAGTTGTTTCTTTCCTTTATTTCTATGCTGCATTTGCACAAACTCTCCCTTACTGCAGCCTGTGACCTTGCTGTCATTGCTTCACTTTCCATTGTGTTACATGCCTGTTTTCAGCCTCATTAGAGGAATGCAAAAGCAGCATCTGTGTTTTTGTACCTGCTGATGTACTTCTGGCTCCCCACATGTTGCCTCTTCTGCCATTTGATAACTTAGGTGCAATACTATGGTAATTACTTGCTAGGCAGGAAAGAATAAAATAGGTTGAGCTTTTTGTTATAACCAGGCAAATAAATTATAGGCAAGTGTTTGTGTTACAGTGAGAAGTTGGTGCTTTTCCAGCTTTCCTTAGTGAAGTGTTTTGTGTTTTGGAGATCTCCCGTTACTGACCTGAATTCAGTATTGCAGTGCAGATCAGGTGCAGAGGTTTTCCTAGCTGGAACTATCCAACTATCTCTTGTGTTCAAAGGCCAGTGCTTCATTCTATGGCAGCCATCTCTTTGTTATAGCCTAGAGCTGAAGGTACTGCATTTTATCCCAGTTCCATGGAGAAAAGTCCTGGAGAGGAGAGGTAAAACCAAACATACAGATGTTCAAAAGAGTGACAGTGTTATTTTCTGTTACCTAACTGCAGGTGTCCCTGGGTCCATGCCTAATGCATCGTGGGAAGGTGAACTGAAAGCAGTGAAGTGGATTGATATGGAAGATGTCCATGGAGGTTGTCACGGTAATGCATATATTCTTCCTCAGTTTTCTTCTTGTTCATCTAGTGAAAAACTTGATTTCTTCCTGTAGCCCTACATAATGCAAGTCAGTTCTTAAGCAGCAGTTAATCAGAAGTAAGACGTTGAAAGCTTTGTCCTTAGGTACTGAATAACAGTAGCCACGTTAAAAAAAAGCAGTTAGAAATCTAGAACAGTTACTTCTTCATCAGGAACATTTATAGAATACATCAGAAAGGAGGGTGTGTAGCAACGCTTAATGCTTACAAGAGTTAGCTGACTGTTTTCTTCTAAGTGTAGGGGAATCATCTCGTGGGTGATGGGGAATAGCCCATGTATAATTGTAACTCACAGCATGGGGACACAGAACCACTGATGTAGGCACTGATGCCTGCTGGAGCCACACTGGGTAGGGAACCTCAGGAACTGCAAGCTGACAATGTTTAAATATTGAGGTTTTCCTGTTTCATATTGCTTCATGATGTAACATTAGTGAGTTATAATTTCTATGGCACACTTAATTTTTTTGGTCACTGATTTGTATTTTCTACGATGCTACTACTTTTGACATGTAAAAGTGAGAGGAAAATAGATAAAGTATTTCATAAACTTTTAATTCGTTGTTTGTGTTGAGGAGGAAAAAAAAGTATTGATGATTTCAGTCAGCTTAAATTGCAGCGGTTTCACGTTATTGTGACTACACCAAAATAAGTGACATTGCACCAGTATCGACCCATGTTATTTAGTGGAGAATCTTGCATAAGTAAAAGGATCAGTTCCTCTTCACTGACAGAAGGAAGTTTCCCTCTTTGCTGTGTCTCAGCCTTGTCTCAGAGTCTCAAGTAATAAAACTTCTGGCCTATCTCCTTATTCAGGAATTATGCTTATTATTTACTCATAAGCAATTTCCTTCATACCATTTTGTTGTTCATACTTACACTGTGTGTCTAGTAAGCCTTTTAGGACATGGTGTAGATTTATAGTGGCTTTGCAGATAAAACCTATCCAAAGAAAGTTTTGGATCCATAAGCATGCCTGTAGAAAGAAAACCAGGTTCTGACATTTCTTTTGTTTCTTTTTAATTTTGCAGGCCATTATGTCAGAGGCATTTGTGTATATGGAACAGGTGACCTCGAGTGGCTTTTAAACTCCACCTGTATGTTTGCAAATAAGTTTGAGCTCAGAACATACCCACTGACTGTGGAGTGCCTGGAGCTGAGACATCGAAAGAGAACCTTGGCACAGAGTGAAGTTCAGGTGGAACCAAACTGGTATTTCTAGCTAGTGAAAACCCAGGATGCATCAACAAAAGTGGTCGGAATTGCACCAGAAATCTAATTTCTGTTTTGCTGGAAGAACACATTCATCCAACAGGTTTCTTTAGGATGTGCAATAGTTGCAGCTCAGGTCAGCTTGTCTCACTTTGTCTGCAAATCTATCTTTTCACTTCACATTTGGAGACCAAAATGTGGAAGATTCCAAAAAGAAGCAAGTGGGCACAGCTCTTTTTACAGCTGCCCTGTTTGTACTTTTGCAGTTTTTATGGCCTGTTGCCCATCCCTAACTTTTTTTTCTTGCTACACTGACATTGCTGCCTGTTTCTATAAAAATGTATATAGAATCAGGCATCCTTGGGACTTCGCATTACCTTGAAGACAAGTAGTGTGCATTGGTAAGCAGAAAGATAACAAGTCACAGTGAACAAGACCTTAAAAAGAGGAACACAATTGGTGGCCATGCATGCAGCTGCTGGTCAAAGATACACAAACTTGGCTCACCAGGGAAGTACTGGGAATGGGAGAAAGGTGCTGAACTGCTGTTCTAAAGTCTGTTCTTTAAACATCTGTTGGTTCAAGGTTTGTAGGAGTATAGCACCTTTTGCTATGCAAATGGTTGTAGATAGAAAGGTCTGATAGGCTTTCAGGCACAAGAGCTCTTTATGAAAAGTGAAGTCTTATTTATTTGTTTCGCTTGGCCAACTAATAGAGCTGGAAACCGACTGACACACAGATTTTGGCCTGCCAAGTGTCCTCAGATCATCATAGATAAGGACACAAAGGGAGGGGGAGAGCAGTGAAAAGGGATGCCGGGACTGAAAGATCAGTAGTTGAGCTTTGGCAGTAAGTCTGTAACTTTGTGTCATGTTTTGACAGGGGCTGAGCCTCCTTCCCAAGCTTACTTCTTTTGAGTGGTTGATAGGTGTAGGTAACATTGAGCTTCACAGCCCTATTTTTGTTTCCCGATTGCAGCCACCAGAGGGAGGCAGTCAAATAGCCGAGCTGATACTCGTTCCTAAGCCTACCTAGCCCTTCAGCATGCAATCTCCGAAGCAGAATTGAATGGTTCTTCCTGCAGTGATGACAGGCTGTATTCCTGGGGTTATTTCAGCACGTTGGATGACCCGGTTAGCAGCACGGTGGAGCACCTTGGCTCAAGCAGTGGGTCCTGAACAGCATCTACTCCCAGCTCCGTTAAACCACCGCTAACTTCTGTGTCCTTTTCTTTTCCTGACTCGCCACCATTTACAGCGTCGCTTCCTTTTTTTTTTTAAACGAATGTTACGCTTTTCTGCAAATAAACCCTTTAGTTATCATTGTGCGACTGATTTCTGGGCACGGCCGGTGGCGGCGGCGTTGAGCTTCCCGCCCGCGGCCGGAACTCCGTGAGGCGCCGCTCCGCCCCGCCGCACGCCGGGAAGCGCCGCGCCAAGGTCAGAGCGGGCCGTGGCCAACCGCCCCCAGGCTGCAGCGGGCGGCGGAGGGGCACCGCACATGGAGTACGACTGGGTCGGCTTCGGGTACGCGGCGCTGGTGGCCTCCGGGGGCATCATCGGCTACGCCAGGGCAGGTAGGCTGCTGTTAGCGGTGGGCGAGAGGAGGGAAGGTCGGAGCGCGGGGTTCTGCCCTTTGAAAGGGCTGCCTGCCTGCGCGGGGACGGAGGGCTGCGAAGCGTCTTACTAATAGGGAAACAAATGCAGGTTGTGATTTGTGTTGCTTGCTTTCTTGAAGGCAGCGTCCCGTCCCTCGCTGCCGGCCTTCTGTTTGGTGGCCTGGCAGGGCTGGGTGCCTACCAGCAGTCCAAAGAGCCGAAGAACGTGTGGCTTTCTCTTGGTAAGTGCTTGGCATCCGAGTGTTGACACTGACGGCTGGAGCACCTCCACTATCAGGGCAAGCTGAGGGAGCTGGGCTTGTTCAGCCTGGAGAAAAAAAGGCTGTGGGGTGACCTCATTGCAGCCTTCAGTACCTAAAGGGAGCCTACAAACAGGAGGGAGTCAACTCTTTACAAGGGTGGACAACAGCAGGACAAGGGGAAATGGTTTTAAATTGAGGGAGGGAAGATTTAGGTTGGGTGTCAGGGAGAAGTTATTTACAGAGAGTGGTGAGGTGCTGGAACAGCTGCCCAGAGAGGTTGTAGATGCCCCATCCCTGGAGGTGTTCAAGGCCAGGTTGGATGGGGCCATGTGCAGCCTGGTCGGTATTAAATGGGGAGGTTGGTGGCCCTGCATGTGGTAGGAGGATTGGAGCTTCATGATCCTTGAGGTCCCTTCCAACCCTGGCCATTCTGTGATTCTATTCCAGCTAGCTTGTGTCCCTTTATTTGTACAAGTGCTGTGAGCGTTGGCAGGGCTGCCTGCCCATAGCTGGGAAGCATTTGTGCCAGAGCTCTAGCTCCTTGCTGTACTCTCTCTGGGAGCCATGCTGGGTGGCAGCTACATATCCCCACTGCCAGGTGAGGTACTGTGTTAAATTAATTCAGGCACAGGGGAATCGTGTGGTAAAACAGCTGCAAAGGAGCATTTTTAAGCTTAAAAATGTTTTAATGTATGCTGTGGAAAGAAATCTTAAATCTACAAAAGGAGGGAAAGAACTGTTCTCTATTGCTTGTCCCACTTCTGTTGCTTACAATAGATGGGACAAGAAGCTGTAGGCTTAGCTTGCAGCAAACCTTTTGAGGGAAGCAAAAAAGATGAAATGATAGTGGAAGGTGTTGGGAGGCATTGGAAGAGATCAGGTGAAGCTTAAGGAACTTCCATTGCTGCAGGGCTTCAGTAAATGGTCAGGTCAGTGCCTGTGAGGAATTGATCACATCTTTGTGCACTAGGTTGAACTCTTAGAGCTCTGTAACCACATCAAAGTTTTATTAGCATTTAGATATTACAAGGATTTAAGGCTATTTACAAACAACAGATCTTGGTCATTTTGCAATGTGCTGAAGAGCTTTATGGGATCCCTGGCAAACACTGCAGAGGACCAAACTGTGTGGTGAGTAGAAAACGAGGTGCAACACACACAGCTCAATGTGAAGCACAGCTGGTTTGTGCACTCTCTCTTCCTGTGTGATGTGTACTAGGAATGGCCATGCATCTCCCATCTCCTGCGCTAGTTTTTAGACAGTATAGTGAGAGGAAGATGAGTTGCTTCTGTACTTCTTGATTTTTGGACGTAGACATAGTGGGCCTCTTGAAGGCAGCATGATGTCCTGGCTTAGTGTAATTCCTTATTCATCTGTTCTATTTTATGAGGTAGTGAAAGGATGAGGGGAAGTAGTTTTAAACTGGAAGAGAGTAGACTCAGATTAGATATCACAGTTTTTTTTCTTGTGTGAGTGAGACACTGGAACAGGTTGCCCAGAGAGGTTGTGAATTCTCCTTCCCCCAAAGCCTTCAAGGCTAGGATGGATGAGAGGTTGAGCAACCTGGCCTACTGGGAGGTGACCCTGTCTATAGCAGGGCGTTGGAAATGGATGCTTTTAAGAGGTTCCTTCCAACCCATACCATTCTCTGGTCATTCCATGATTCTGTTTCTCTGCAGCCTCCTGTGATTTGCAGTTGTGGTTCCAGCTGAGCTTTAGATTGCTCAAACTGCATCAAATAGGAAATATAATAATATTTGACTTCCACACAGTAATCTTTATCAACCACCCTAGCTTTCTAGCAGTTTTTAGGTTATCCGTATTCAAGGAAATAGTCCTCTTCCTTCTGCAAATAAATGGATATTGAGGGAGTGTTAGTGATTTGCACAGAGGAGTGGAGGTTATGGGTGATGAGGCAGTGTTAGTAGCTGGTTAGATGTACTCATTTGTAATTGGACAGTGGAGCAGGCTTACCAAAGCTGCCATAAAGCTTACAGCTGCTCTGCTGCTTAACAAAAATAAGTAAAATATTTGCTTTTGAGGGGAAGAGAGACACATAGGCCTGTTGGCACTGGCAAGTGTGTCACAGGGTTATAGTGCCGCACTGGCACTTCAGACCCACTTCCCTGAAACTGTTCTGACTGGGCTTCTCTTATCAGTGGCATCTGGAACCTTGTCTGCTGTCATGGGGATGAGATTTTACAACTCCAGAAGAGTGATGCCTGGGGTCATTGCTGGTGCCAGGTACTCACATCTTCTGTTCTTGTCTGTGTTTTGAATAAGCATTTTATTTAACTTACACATTGATTATATTGTGTTCAAGAAGTGTTTAGATGTTGTACTGAGGGACATGGGTTAGGGGAAATATGGGTGGTAGGTGGACAGTTGGACTGGATCATCTTGGAGGTCTTTTCTGACCTTGGTGGTTCTGTGATGAGGATTTTTTTAATGTTACTTGGTAAGTTGTGTGAGAAATGAAATCTTGTGTTGTAGTCCACTAAATGAATCATAACGTTTTCTTCTGTGGTGGTGTTTGAGAATTTTCCCCTATCCCTTTCTTTTGTTTCTTCGTGCTTTCTTCCTTTCTTTTAACAAATATTCTGTTCAACAGTTTATTGATGGTTGGAAGACTCATGTTGCAGATGATGGAAAAGCCACTTGAGCCATAAGTGAACATCACACCACTTGAAAATACATGAGTAAGAAGCCTGAAAATGCCACTGCCTGAATGCACTATATAAAAAAATGTAACAGACACTGCTGTCTGTGCACTGTTTTTTCATATCCTTATGTGTATGGGTCATGTCTTTGAATGAGAGAAATTGAGAACCCTTGTTATGTCTTCTGAAGTGGTATTCGTCTCAACAGCTGCACTGTGAAGTAGGAAAATGAGTATAGGACTAGTTCAGCTTCTTGTCCTGTAGTTTATGCAAAGGTCTCTAGGCCCTTGTGTGCAGACAGTTGTAGGAATGAGCCTTAAATATACATCTGGACTTGTGCTTGTAAAACCCGTTAGACTGCTGAAACAATGGGACACAAGTTGGACTAGATGAGCCTAGATGAGCTTGGAGGTCTTTTCCAGCATAGGTGATTCTAAATTGCCAATTTATCATTGATATTTCCTGTAACATGTCAGCTTTTTGTCACCTTTCCCTCCCACTTCCCTGCCAGCTTATCTGGTCATCGTGTTTGTCGATCAGGGACTTCGTTCTGCTAGCACTGCGTTAGAACCTTGGCCTAAAAACACAATCATGAAGTAGGGGGTTAAGTTTCTAATGTAATGCAATGAAAGTAAACCTGTTACTTGAAATTATTTATAAGGAAAAGTGCCCAACTAAATGTAATTAATTTGACTTTTACAGATTATTCTTTGTAAGAAATAAAAAATGTACTTCATTAGGTAATGCTGAGTCGCAGTCATAGCACTTGTATGAAAATGTTACTTTAAATAAACCAGCCAATGTAATATTATTACAAATTTCCTTTCTGCACAGCTATTTTTTTCTTTAATCATTCACTTGGACTGATACATTTAGTGCCTCTTCTGTAGGTAGTCTGGATATCTCTGTGAACATGAATTGTCTGATAGCCCTGTTCCATTCCTGGGCACACGCACCTATAAATATTACTTGAACTGGGGAGAGGAGAGACAGAAAAAGCAGCATACGGTCTTATATATAAGACAAGTATTACATTAAAATCTTAATTTTTATTTTTCTGAGAGAAATGTTCTGTTTCAGATTTCGAAAGACTCTGTGAAAGTTTATTTAAAGACTAAAGGACTCAGATGCTTCCCTGAGAAGTGCTCTGTTGCCTGAACTCATTCTAAATATAGACTTAGGATGCAGAAATAATCCTGGGAGTTATGCATGGATGGTAATGTATCCCTTTTCTGGTCTGGTTTATCTTGTGTCTGTTTTTGCACAGGACCTGAGCTTCGATTTCTTCAGCCTTTGTTTTGGTGGCCAATACTGTGAGTCTGAAGCAGGGGGGTTGATGTGTTGGAATAGTAAGGCTTTGGGGCCTCGTTTGCTCAGAGTTCTCTAAACATCTGGCCAATACCATAGCAGGAGTGTGATACCTTGTGGTTTGTTTCCTTTTTACTTCCTCTTTTCCTTCCCTTCTTGTTAAATAACTTTAGTCTCTGGAGATGGAGGGGGAAAAGCACCTGGCAGGGAGCAGCTGGTTTCCTCACAGGAGAAAATGATCTGGGAGTCAACAACTTCAGCAGATGGTTTCTTTGTAAGTTATCCTTATAAGTGTCTAATTCCAGGCTCTTGACCCAGCACTGGTTATCAGGTTGTCTGAATGTGTTTGCTATAGCTTGAGAAGGCTAGTAAGCTTTGTATTAGGAGAGAAAAGCTAGAGACTTGTGTGCTTTTCATCCACTTGGAACTCCATAAGCATTAGGTGCATTTCTGCACTGACAGTGTGTATCAGTGAATCAGTTATAGTGACTGTACAACACCTACTAGTGCCTGACTGCTGTTTTGTCTTGTTGCTTGCAAGAAGAATTTCTTAACTCTAGTCATGCTTTGATCGTAGACATGTCAAGGCAGTTACAGTTACATCAGAATAATTTCTATGTTCACTAGCATGTTGTAAGGACAGTGTGTTTCTTCTAGCTCTATTTAGTACTGCCTGTTCCTTTTTCTGCTCTAGGTGACTTAGCTTTGGACACATCATTAGCTAATTGCTTGGTTAGTGTGATCTTATCTAAGTTACTGGCATCTACTACCAGGGATGAGTGATTAATTTCTCCTGGATTTCATTAATAAAACTAGTGTATTTATGAACCAGAACTGTTCTAGAAAGTGTGAGGGTGGTCTTCATTTCTACAGTGAGTTACAGATATATTCTACAGCTACAATAAGATATGCCTAAATAGCATATGAAGATCTGTTAGTACTAATGGAGTGACAGGTATCTGAGACAAAACCAATAGTAACTGAAGTAAGTCTTCTAGTGTGTTACTAACCAGTTATCCAGCTCTCTACAAATCACTTCCAGTATTAAAGTAACATTTTCTTTTGGTATTTGTATTTTATTTTTCAATGCTACTGCTTCAGTTTAACTTCCAGTAGGTTATATAGCCCAACTATTACGGCACGTTAGGTCAACAGCAGGAACTGAGAACTTTATATGCAGTTTAGAAACAAAAAAAAGTTATCAGCAGTTTCACATCTTTAAAGAACATACTCGTTTTGTATTTTAAAATGGCAGGTTTAATATTACTACCAAAACATCTATTCTAAACGCAGCTGTGAACAGAAGTAGCCTAGATCAACATTAAAAAAATATATTTATTGTACACTGCAATGCCCTTTGCAAGATATTTCTGTAAAACTTAGCATAGGTGCCAAGGAAAGTATGACGTGAGCATATAAACATTGAGGTATTGCATTGTTAAAGCTTGTATGTGGTCTTACATACAGGACTTAAGCTGGCTTTAAAGATCTAAAAGAGAAAGTAACTTCTTAGAAAAGCAGCTTTATTTCCTCCCTCACATGATTCACAGGGCTTCTTTGAGTTATGAAGAAGTCTGGTTCGTGTCATCACCCAGTAAGACGGTTACCAACCACTTAGGCCTTTTTAAATTCACCTTTAGAACAGCTGATGAGACTGGGATTGGATTCCTTAAAATGTTGCTGTGATATACCTTTGACAAGGGAGATGTAATTCTCCACAGATCTTCAACTGAAAGTGGTCATAAGCTAATTTTAACAGTACAGTCTGGTTTTAAGTTTCACTACAGCTCAGTGAGGTAAGTGCAGCATTCAGTACTTGCTTAGCTGTTTTCCAGTGTTGCTACTGGGATGTATTTTCAGAGCTTCCAGGAGCAGGAATTGTCACTATATTGCTTCTGTCCAGCTACAAGGAGTTCTCACTTTATTTACACATTACAGACCCTGAGCAACTCTTTAGGTACAAGCGAGTTCTGAAATCCTTGGAGGACACTGATGTTCTTCACAAAGCCCAGTCTGTGCTTTCACTTTGATATTTCCCAGAAGGAACCAGTGTATCAGCTGGGAGCCTGGAGCTGTTCTGCTTTAGCCCCAGTTCTAGCTGCTTGTGACCTAAGCTGCTTTCATGTACAGTGGTGGACTTTTGCATAGGGCAAGAAATTAAAGCTCTTGTTTTTAAGACTGTGCTGATAGGAAGTCTTCTATAGGAAAGTGCCAGGTGAAATCTACTTCTCATTACTTCTAAATACGTGATAAATTTGGCAAGATGTGTTGTACAATACTTAATGAAATCCTACTTAATAGCCAGTATTTTAAATAATGTGATTTTTTTGGTGTGTGTCCATAGATAGTAGAACACAAAGTTGTCTGTTTCTGTCTTTACTGTTGCATAGGTCTTAGGAAAGATTAGAGCAGATAGGCATTTCAGGCAGGAGAACTGTGCAGGTATCATGTGAGCCTCGTTCAAGATGGTATTTTCTATCTGTGTCCTCCATACTTAGCCATCCAGTCTGTTCTTCCATGGACTGGCTGAATTGTTGGTGCATGAGTTAAAATATTCATGCTTTTTGCTGAATTGTAAGTAGGACCTGCTAACTGAGCACGAGCAGCTTTGGTTTTCCAGGAATAATCTGAAAGGAACAAGAACTTGGAATTAATGATGACTAAAGTAGTATTTTACTACTGCACAGATGTGAATGAGAGTTGAAGGATGACTTGTGGTACTCAGAGCTATTAACACATCAGAGACCAGACTGTCCTTGTTTTCAGATAAGGCTGATGTTTCCTAGAGTTTACTTATCTTACTGGTAATTCTCACTTATTGGATACCTGTTTTGCAGCAATTCCTGCAGACAGCACTGAGACAGTTGTGGAGCTTTTTACTGAATTTCAATCTCCTATCGCAAAACTGCTGTAGAAAGGAAGTATTCTTTCTTATTTTTCTCTAGCACTTGAATAAGCACACAGTAACAAACCCATGTTGTTTGGCTTTTACTTCCTATAATGTAGCGATGTCCACACTTTCACTCCAGAAAGCACTCCTTTCATATTTCATGGCTACAAGAGTACTGTCAGCTACTGGGGTGACACTCAGACTTGCATAGCTAACAGTGGGATGAAACAGTGAAAACCTGTCTTAAATTACCACTACTAAAGCTGCAGAGCAGCCCCGTAGAGCTAATGAAGAACAGAACAGTTTATTTTAATACAGTGCTTGTACTGTATACATAACACTACTTGTGGATTTACTGAGTCATCTGAGGGAAGTATTTACCTTTTCTGGGGTTGTTTAGCATACTGTAAGCATGGTTCAGCATTATTCAAGTGCATTAAATGGCATTATATTTAAAGACTCATGATTGTCGCATGCTGCAAGAAAACCTCTGTCAAGAAAATGCCTCTAAACCAATTTAAATACGAATATTTTTCTATTTAAACCTGAATTTATCTACTTTTCATACTGGTGTTAAGAAACATCTTGGCATACACATTTTTCTTACCAGATACAGATGGAGCAATAGGAGCCAGCTGTATCCGTTGTCCAGCTGATCCAACTTCTTTCTTATGAAAGGAAGGGATGTATCCTCCTGATGGGTTGTAAGCAGCGCCTCCCACAAAGTCAGAATTTCCTGTTGATATTACAGGAGGTTTTAATATTTTCAGTTGCATCCATGAAATATGCATTTTCATAGTCACTTCATAACACACTTGCATGATCACAAGAATAAAGAGTGAGTGGTGTTCTTCCCCAGTGCTTGTCTGTAGGGAAGAAGTATGTATCTGCAGTGCAGCAGCAGTGAAGATAACAGAGTAGTATGACCAGTTCCTTAATACTTTCATTAAACTTACATTGCCTAGCAAGAGTTTGCACTAAAATTCAATATAAGACAGGATCTTACCTTTTATTTACTGGAAGCAGGTTTTAGCACTTCAGTCTTGAAAATCAGCATGCAACAGTACTCTTGTGCTCAACATGTATGACCTACATCTATCTAAAAATGGAACCACAACTCCTCTTGTGGTGCATCACTTGAAGTTGACTTAGCCAGTTCCCTGGCTAAAGGCCTGCTACAAAAGTAAGATCTAGTTCCCCTTTGTTTTGAAGTCTGACATTTGCTGTGCTTGGCTTTAGTTCACAACTTTCTCTAAGGGAGTGTTGCCTTGGGAAGATGAACATAATCATCCTTTCCAATCCATCATTAGGAAGCTAAGAAACATTATGCATTTACGCATGAAATTATTACTGAGGTTACTGTACAGCGGTGTGAAATCAACTCAAATATTTAGACTGTTCCAAGTGGATTTCTTGTCTGTCATCACCTAGACACTCTTAAAAAGCTGTGTGATAGCACAGTGTTTGAAGAGAAGTGCTTCCATCAGGATGGTTCCAAGAGTGGTTGATAAAATATACAGTGTGATTTGACAGTTTGTTCTCTTAAATCACTGGCCCCAGTGCAATCCCAAAACCCTCCTCCTCACACTAACACCCTCAGTCTTCTGTGCTAATGTCAGAATTAGTGCAGTGGCTCTATAAGGTGCAGAACTGATCATCTACAAACCACAAAAGTATCCTCAGCTAATTACAGCTGTTTTGGGTCATCATGTACCTCTTCTTGCCCATAACCCCACAGTCCTGTCAACAGGTGGGTCCCTAGGTGGCTTCTGATGCCAGGCTTCAGTAGAATAAAGGATGACACAGATCCTGATGAAAAATAAAACTTTAATAAGGTACTCAAATTACAACTTCCTTGGAGTTGTAAGTTCTTCTCCACAATTTTGCCTGAAAAACAAAAGCAACAATTTTGGTGTTACATTCCCTTGTCTGCATAAACATACATGCATGTATTCCCCCACTTCCTGATCTTTTCACTGGGACTGCTTCATAAGGTATAATACTGATCTGTCAGAGGATATCTTAAAATTCTGAAATCTGAGACCATGACAAGCCTTAATATAACCTCAAAATGACTCGTTCTACATGTTTCTTAGCTGCAGCTCTGCAAAGCTGCCTGTCAAAAGTTTTTCAACTGCTTTTTTTTTCTTCTTCTTACCTCTTCATATCTGACGTTCTTTATGAACTCTTCTGCAGAAAAGGGATAAGCACAGTCCAGAGGAACAGGCTGGGTGAAACTGAGAGGACTGAAGGAATTGTCTTTTCCTTGGACAGAAGGAAAATAAGAAATTCAAGGCAAAGTTATGACTGCTAACATTTCAAAACCACGCATTGAGAGGTATGCAGTAGGTCATTCCTTACCTCTGGCAACTGCCATGCAAAACAGAAGTTCTTGCTGTAGAAGTCCATCAGGCATCAAGGAGGGCTGGCAGCAGATGTGTAAGCAAACACAGCTGTGTGCCAGCAAGTGTAAGCATGGTCTGGGCAGCATAGCTCAGTGCATACCTGATTCTTCTCAAGGGATGAAGCCATTGAATCCTTCATGCTGGGCAACAAGTTGAGAAAAAACTACAAGTAGTTGCAAAGGGATACAGTACACACCTCAGGTGCCAAAACGGAGGGAGAGGTGAAACATTACACCTTTACAATGCTTGCAATGAGGAGTGTGTTCAGATATGAACATGGCTGCCTGGAAACCCTAGTTTCCATCTGTTTACACTGAGGTTAATCAATCAAACCTGTGCAATCACAATGTGTAAATAACAATTAGAATGCAGTCAGTGGTGCGAGTGGCAAGCGATATTAGGAGCAAGCATTCCTTCAGGGATGCATGTTCCTCCTTTAGGATCAGTTCTTCTCCAGAAGGAAAGTTATGAAGTCACTTACTGGAACATTCAGATGTTATTTAAAGGCATTTGTAAGTATACATGTAGTCACTTCATTCTCTCAGGTTTCAAAGAGTGTACTGAAACAATCCAGGTTAACATGAATGAGTTAGTCTACATGTGATGAGAAATTATCTGCCCTCCTTCAGCATAACACCACTTAGTTTAGGTGCAGATTCAGAAGGGAAACAATTTTGCCAGTATGAAAAACAAACAGACCTTACTTATATGGCTATTTTCTTACTTTGTCTACTTCTAAGAGTAAAAATCAAGGTAGAAGCTGTTTTTCACACTACATTACACTGTGCTAACTAAGATGGACCTCTGCTGCTTCCCTGCTGCTGCTGCATATCACTGCATGAGTTGCTACCCCCTAACTCATAGGGCAGCAGACCCTGCTTGGTCTAAAAGCAGACATAAAGAAGAGAGCAAAGTTGGACAAAACACATTACAATTGAAAATGAAGGATGTGATCTTTTGGAATCTGCACTGTAGGTGTATTTTTGGGGAGAAAATGTAAAACAAATATGAAATGTGCAAAAAGCCAGGTTATAATTGCTGTAAGTTACCTTTTGGATCCTCTAATTTTTCATTCAAACTTTCTTTGCATGATAGCTTTTCAATGGGTGTAATTAAGTTCTCTTCTGTAGATAAGGAGAATGAGAGAGAGAGAAAAAGATGGAAAGACAGAATTTTAGAGAAAGTATATGAAGAATCTGGTTAGGTGATACCAAAGAAATGAGGAAAAGCAGAGCAAGAAAGAATACCTGACACTGACGTAGCTATAATTTCATGTACCCCTTTAAGTAACATCTCCTGCTTTTAAAACTGTTTTCATTCATTAGAAAGTAGCTCAAAAAGTAACTAATTAACCAACAATGCAGTCACATTATAGTCATACCAATGCACAATTCACAAGTTCAAGCATTAAGGCATATTTGCAAAGTTGGTCACAGCTTCACCATTCCTTACAAATAAAGCTTTTGTAACTATTTGTTCTTATGTTATTTCACCCTAGAGCAGCATTGTGAGTAAAGAAAAAATAAAAGCACGTGAAGAAACTAAACGTAGTTATTTAAACACCAAGCAGCACAGTGCCAGCTTTCAATCCTATCAGCATGAAAAAGGAATACATACATCTACCATATTACTCTGGTCAGTGGTCCAACTACCACAGTTTCCTCTGTGTCTGCCTTAAGCGCTGTTGCCTGCCTGGTACATAAAACCTTAGTGTATGTTATTTAAGATATCAATGGAAATAATGCTCAGTGTTTTCAAACACTTTTTGTTAAAGATGATTTTTCTTTAGCTTTTCAGTAGATAGCCATAGTAAGACAGAAGTGAGGTTTTACCACTGGCATTGACCTAAGTTTGTTTATAGCCCAATTCAGTACATAGCTGTCTGGCTTACTAATACATACTTATGGAAACAAGCTCTGCCTTTTTCTGTCTCTTCCTATGCAAGAGTATTTTGTCAAAATCAACTTACTTTAAGGCACACAGATCTAAAATTTCTGAAACCCAGAAAACATTTATGATTACTGTAAAAAGTGTTTTATTCCATCCTTCCAGTTGCTGCTGTTATTTTTCCATTTCTTAAGTGCTCTCCATGATTTCAAATGAGCAACTTAAACTTCACCTGACTTCCAAAAGGAAAATGTTTTGATAACAGAGCTGGGGGGCTACTAAAGTTTTATTAAAAAAGCATGCAGCAGCTGCATATGAACAAGCCTCCTGAAGTTCTTGTACAAACACATTAGGTCAGATGGTGTAACACTATAGTGTACAGAAACACAGAAGAAAGACTGCTTACCTTTGGAAGGCCTCAGGTAGGCAGGGACCTTCAAATAAGATACCTTTCTCTCCACTATCAACCCTTAACATGAAATCTGGGAAGGCACGGATCCTGGTTCCACCCCTCCCAATCACTCAGTGCTTTGCTTGCACCTTGAGCTCCCCTGGGTTCCCCTGCCTTCCCAGCAGGTGCTCAATCAGTGCTTCAAGCCCTGACAGCATTTCTGCTACAGGTGGTCATTAGCATTGATGCTGGCAGCGACTCGCGCTGGCTTCAAAACTGTTAGAGTGACAGGACTATGTAGTGTTCAGAAGGTAGATTTCAGTCTCAAGTCCTATGCTTACCTCAGTGAAATCTCAGATAAGCCATTGTACTTGTTTAAGCCTTAGTCTTCACTCTGTAAAATGCTGATAAGAGCATTTTCCACAAAAGCTAGTACAAAAGGCACCTCACTGCAAGCTCCTTGCTGAAAGTGAGGGGACTTCCCATCTGCCAAGCTGGTATCTCTAGCTGATGTTAGGCAACACCTCATTTGTTTTCATATGTGAGACTGCTGTTTCATAGTGTTCCACATCACACTGACCAGGCAGTAGTGAAATCAAGCTATTTCCTTAAATTATCACAGTGAGCTAATCAGCTTAAGAGGATTACAGATAAAATTTGTCCTGACAGAACTGTATTCTAACAGCTAGTCTGTGCTTCCTTTATGGTCTGAAAGCAAAACACATAGCTTAGGTATGAAAAGATTACTTTGAGTCTCTGTTTAAATTAAGAAAAACAAAGTTGGCCTATAAGCAAATTAATTAAATAAAGTATGATGAAAAACAAGGTGACTGCTGTTTATTACACTTATACCTGTATTATTTCTGTTGAAAGGCAATCCTTCTCCAACATGTGTCAATGGCTTGGAAAACAACTGGTTGTTCCAGGTTCCATGAGATCCTTCTTTATTGATTGCTACTAAAGAGACAGTCTTAGGGTTTACACCTTAAAAAAGAAATTATGGCAGATGTTAATTTCCAAACATAATTCAACCCATGAAAAATCAGTCATTTCTAGAACAATAAAACAAAACTCTATTTCTCACATAACATAAACATTATTAGTGTAAGTCAAAGGACAACATCCATTGGTTAGGTTATATTTCTCAACTGAAAATTAGATACAGTGATTTTAGAACTCTTGTTTTCGTGCATTCAAGACAACTGGTAGTTTTACTGCAGTTACTTGGTGTCTGTAACATCATAACCTTATTGATATATAAGACCCTCAAACAATTAGCAGAAATGAAATAAATATATTGAAAACAAAAGTTCTCAAGGCTAAAAATAAACTTTCTTCAGAGGATAAGTTTAAAAATAGGACAGAGAAGTTCTTGTTACTTCAGCATGTCATGAGCATTAGTGAGTTAATGGGATTACACAGCATGAAAGCAGCTCACATATCCAGTGGTAACAGAGCTATATTGATATGGATAAATAACAAATATGCTCCTTGGAACTATTATTAAGTGCAGAAATATATATATTTAAACTACTATGCCACTCTCATTGAAAACTAATAAAAATAGGGAAGTATTAGAAGCATACTTCAAAATATAAGAAGTGTAGATTAACTTTCTGTTTGTTACCTTTAGATAGGAAAGCTTTTTTCCCCTCTTTTGGGCAAAGTGTTGAGTCTTAGGGCATCCAATTAAGCACTGAAGAAGTGATTTCATACTTAGAAGTTATCGCTGTGCTTACGTGGGCATCTTTCTCACTTCTCAGATACATTGCTTATGGTCAGTCAGGATATATTTCCAGGTGTCCAAAAACTGAGGGTTTTATATGTTGCTGGTCATAAGAGCTTGTGTGAACATTTACACTGCACAAGCAATGTTGATCTCTTTTCCACTTATGCATAGCCAGGACTTTCTGTATTAATAGTGGAAAGATATGTTCTTGGAAAGGCATTTAGTCCAAAATTTTAGCTTGAGTAGGAAAAGAGAATTACCCAGTGTGAAATCTGAAGTTTAAGTGTGCTATATATAGATTGTTCACTGTTTGCATTTTCCATGACATGTTGACTTTTCCCCTTACCTGGCAGGTATCTTGATTGTCTTAGATAGTACTGTTTTGCTGTTGTATTGGATCTTCCAGAATCATTTCTCATTACACCTTTATTTTCTGCTCCTGGCTGGGTACAGTGTGAAGCTTTTGGTTCTGGCACACTGAAAAAAAATCAAAATGTTCAAGCTGTGTAATCAACAAGTCCACCTTAGAATGCCATGAGCTGAGGCTGGCTTAAGGATGCAGTGCTCTTCTCTTATCCTGCTTTCATCAGTAGACTTCATTCCCACAGAAAGTAACAGCTAAATCTCATATCTCATGAGAATTTTACCTGACAATATGAAAGTGGAAGAAAAGAAGTGTATACAATATATAGACTTAAAAGTAATTAAGTAACTGTGGCAGAACTTCCCCTAGCCTCACTGACATGGGAAATCAGGTACCACTTCAGTAAAACACTGTTAAAAACAAGATAGACACCTATGTGATGGATAGAATTACAGATATTACTGGTGCTACATCAACACCCAGCTCAAAGCTGGCCTGTTCACAGAGCCCTCTGCACTACTGCAGAGTTTCAGCAAGTTAATTTTTAGCAGATCTGTTTTAACCAATCTATAAATCTGCTGATCACTGTGTACTAAAACACATTTTCTATAAAAGTGATTTTATAATGCCAAGACCTACCTAAAGAGACATTCCTTGTTTTTCTTTTCTTTTAACAGTGCAATGCTAGGCTTCTTTGAACACGACATTCCAAATTCAGCATCGTCCAATTCATCCCAGCTGTCCACAGCCTTTGTCAAAGTCTGACCCCATCGTCTCCTGCAACTTTTAGCACCCACTGTGCCATTCTGAGCTGCTTGTTTCTATTTCAAATACGAACAGAAGAAGAAAAAATACAACTCTAATTAAATTCTAAAACTTTATATTTTACATATAGTTGATTACTACTGCTTAAGAACATGGGAGGATTTTTTTTTTAAAACCATCGCACTGTACCTATTTTGGTCATAACCTTAATGATTTTAAGCACAAAATATATGACAAAGTTGGTAGGTATTTTGGACTGCCAACTTCCAATGGCTCAAACCTAGCTGACATACTCAATTAACATTCTGTTTGAAGGCCCAGTTCAGCACTCAAGCTCTGTTGCTGGTATCCTGCTGAACTCACACTCTTACTGGTGGTACAGCAATTGTATGAAGCTAAAAACCTTACTTTTAAGAACTAAGAAATTGCAGGTCCATGTGATTACAGGAACTGCTCTGTTTGCAATCAAGAAAATGAATGCCATAAAAAAGGCAGCTTGGATGTGTTTAAAAGCAGTTTGGATGTGGTGCTCAGGGACATGATTTAGCAGAGGGTTGTTAGAGTTAGGGTGATGTGGTTAGGTTGTGGTTGGACTTTTCCAGCCTGAGTGATTCTATGACTCTAAAAGTTATTATAACAGACTGCAAACTGCTGTTAGAAGGAAAGCAGGTATGTCTAACCCATGGCCCAGCACAGCTCACAGTGCAGTCTATGTATAAGTGGCCCAAGACAATCCCACTTCTCTCAGCACGGCTCAGGCATGCCAAGAAGTCGGACATCCATGAAGTAACCTATTTTTCTCATTTGCTGACAAAATTTCAGTATGTGATCAGTTACATTCTCAAAGTCCTTAATTATCTGACTGCTTTTTTTTTTATTATTATTATTTTATTTTTTTTAATAAGTATGGTGATTTTCAGAGAACAGCCACATTGAATACATTAAGAATTTGTGAAAGAACCACCTGTCTAAGTTAGGTACTTACTGAAGACAACTTACCCCAGATGAGTCTTTATTGATAGCTGGAAAAAATGGCTGCACCTGTGTCTGCTGCTGTTTTGATACTTGCTGGTTAGCTGTATTCTGGGGCACCTGAATTTGCTGGAGAGGCTGGTGATTAGCCTTTGACAGAGACTGTGGCTGTGTTTTGTCAGGTTCCTCAGGTGAAGACAGAGGCTCTGGCTTGGATACAGCTTCCAGTTTGGGTAAAGTTGGCTTTGGTTCTGTTGGCTGCACTGGTTTAACAGGAGTCTGCTTCTCCAAATTTTGTGGGGGAGGTCCTAAAACTTGGCCAACTTGAAAGTAAGGGTACTTCAGTGCCTAGAGAAGAAGATATGACACACTAACTGTACTTCAAAAAGTTGACTTTGGTAACTTCTTTGAGGATGTGAGCATGTTTCTGAAGCATTTGAGTGATCTCTACCACAGTAGTGAAAGACAGATGCATAAGGAGTTCATGTGTAAATGTTGTATTTATCCAGCTGTCAGTTCTGCACTTTTAGCTTTCTCTGCCATACAGTTTAGTAAGATGGATCCACCTGTACATTTAATAGAAGTCTTTTTCTTCCTTCTGTGTTTGAAGTCTGTTTTTTTATGTGCATTTTGCATTTAACTCCATTCTATATTCACACAGTAACAAATTACAACTTAAAAACAGGTTGTTTCTACTATAGTAAAAAATTCCCTATTGCATGCTTTCCTGCTAACTATATTACATATCTTACAAATACACCAGTTCTTCCTGTGGAACAAGTTCTTCTGCTATCTCTGGGTCAACTCCTCTTTGTTAGTTCTCAAAGAGATTTCTTGCCTCAGCTGTTCTTGAAAATCACTGCCTTTGTACACCCTTCTATGAAAACACTTTTGGTTTTTGGTTATGGATTGCTGCTTCCTTGCCAACTCTCTTGGGCAGAACCTGGTTGTTTGCTGTCATAACGTGCCATGCAGCATTCTGCATAGAGATGTATAGCACTGCACTACAGTTTGATCTCAGTGACTGTAACAACACATATGCTTTATAAAGCAGACAGATATGGTTGCTGTGCTTTGCACCTCCTCCTTAACCACTTCTGGATCACTTTCATCATGTCCACCTATGATAAACTCATCACCTTCCTTTTGTTTCTCAACTGCACTCTCATACCTTCTAAACAGAATTGCATTAGCTATACATACTCAAAAACAAGTAGAATGTATATATCTTTGAAATATCTATACCTAATTTTCTAAAATTAACCTAGGAAAAAAACCTGTGACCTTGGTGACTTACTGACATGTTCTTCTCAAAGTTCTTCCCTTATCACTCAGTACATTGTACAGCCCATTTCCTAGTAAAAAAAAAACCACTATCCTGCACTCTCCCTACTGCATTCCATCTGCAACTTCACAAAAACAAAGCTTTGTTTTCAGTGTCTCCCAATGAAGTGTTCAAAAGTGTACTCTAGCCTTCATTATGATGACAATCAAATTGTATTTCTGCATCTACCAATTTTTGCCAATGCAAGACAATGCAGTCTTGTCCTTATAATTTAGGTGCTCAGACCTGGCTTGCTGTAGGTCTCTTCTTTGGATTCCAGTTCAGCATATCACTCATAAGCTGTATGGCTTCACTGCTTGCATTTGGGATGAGAGTTTTTAAACTGATAGGGACGCACTGTGGGAAACGGAAATTCATGGCAGAAGAGAGGTGGTATCCTTCTGGCCAGTCACTCTGTTTAAAAGGAAAGAAGAACAAGTTTAAGAAAAGACTAAGTGTTTGAGGGATTAGATCAAGTTATATTTTTCTGTAGCTTGAGTCGTGCTTGGCCTGTGTAGCTCCTTCCTGTACAGTGAAAAACAAGCATTACTAGTTTTCGTTGCCATTGCTGTGGCACCAGTCAATTCAGCATCAGTCTCAAGTGGCAGTCCTTCTTCTGTAGGTGAAGGGGGAACTGTCTTTGTGCATACAACACTTGGATGTACACTCTGAAGGAGAAGAGACTGCAGTAGGTATCAGGAACAGCTAAGCACATCCCATCCATTACAGAAATAAGCTTGAACAGTTGATTTCTATGTACTTCCATCATGATAATACCAGAGGTGAGGCCCTTCTACCCAGCTGCATGGAAAAAATACAGATCACAGCCTGAACAGGTAACTTGCCCATGAGAAAGGGCTCATGTTTGGTTGGGAACACAAGTAAACAGCCTACAGTTTCTGCATGCAGCTAGAAGAAACCTGCTTGTGAGAAGTTCCTTGGCAGCTGTGACCAAGTATCCTTGCTTTCCACAAAGGATCTTTCTTACCCTGATATATGATGCATTATTGTCTCCTGCTGTTATATATATGGCCACAGTACTGAGGGGGTTAGGCTGGCTGCCACCATTATCTGTTGGGGGGGTAATCCTAGGGTGGACTTGCTACAAGCCTGCTTCTCTTACTAATGAGGACTCAGCAGAGACTGACTGGCTGGCTAACAGCCCCATTAACACAAGTACTCCCTATTAAACTGATGATTATTAACTTGCACCTGTGTATTTTCTTTGGGATCAGTAAAGTTTATGCAGAAGCACTGGCTCTTTTGCATTACAACACTACCATGTTTGTGCAATCATGATGTGGACAGATGTGCAACCATTCAATCTATCACTGACTACACCAGTAAGACATTCGGTGATTTAACTATAACCAGACATTACTGCAAGAGGAAAATCATGATCATAATATGAGAACTTAGTGGGTTTTTGTGTGAGAGTGTTAAACTTTCAAGAAGTAAAACCTGAAGTCCTTGGTTGCTTGATAATTGCACTGTTTGAATACAGAATCCTAGGATTGGCAAAGATCTTAAGAGATTATCTAGTCCATGCTCCTGCCTCTTCTTCACAGGTATTATTATCACAGAGTCTGCAGTTCCACAGCCATAACTGCTATAGACAGTCTATTGCATAGACTAACTGCCCTCCAGAAAAGGAAAATACACGTTTCTGTCGTAGCAATACCAGACCATTGCTGAGTATGCTATCATCCTTGGATACCAAGAAAAACTACTGCTTTTGTCTCTAAAACAGCCTGTTTATAAATTAGGTGTATTTCTTGTTCTTTCTTTCCACCTTCCTTTTCAGAGGCTAGAGAAGATCAAACAATTGATTTCTTGGATCTTGGATTTTCAGGTTTTTCTCCTCTGGTCTCTGAAACATAGAACTCTTCATTGAAATGCAAAACTTATAAATGGAACAGAAAGATTAGCTTGTATGTCAATGGACTGTACTTCTTTCTCTACGCACTGATACGGTATTTGTTCCAACACAACACTGATGTACAATGTATTATACAGCTCCTACATCTTCTTCTGAAGAAATATTAGCTGGGTAGTTATCCTCAACTATTTAGTCAAGAATAATTAGAACTGCATAAGTACAGCACTCAAAAATCTTCGGTAATATGTAAACTGCAACTAGTCTTATAGGAAATTCTGAATTCTGATCTTGTCTTCTAACATACTCAGTCCTTCCTTGCCTGTTATCTGCCAATTTACAAAGGAAAATGTATTCCATCAGTAGGCCTTCAGTCCTGCTCACCACACCATTCCTGATCCAAGCCAGGATGAAATAGAGCAAAATAGTTCCTGTCACTACTAAATATCATTAAACAAAAGCCAAAAGCAACCAAATCAACCAACAGAAGTCATCAGCATGGTATCACAGACTTAAACCACTAAAAGGAAGGCAATTTGGAACAAAGACAGCTTCTGGGCATAACTCCTGTCATTCCTTACAGCAAGTTAATGGAATAAATGAGTCTACATATAAATACTCAATTCATTAACCTTATCTGCAAAAACAGAGTACTAAAAGAACTGCTTGTGTTTTTCATAATACAGATAACACTTCACCATAAACAAGTCATTATTTGTGGTGATCAATTGTATTATAATATTTAAATACCCTTGTTACACAGCGATGTCCCTGAAGAATGCCTCGGCATTGTCATAAAGAGATAAAAGTTCCAGGACTGCCCAACAGACGACAGAGGCACAAAGCAACTAATTACAGCTTTCTGATCTTAAGAGGGCTGACTTACAGCGTCTCTAACCCGCGAGCTCTTTCCAAGAGGCTACAATTTTCTCTGAAATATTCAGACTCCTTTCTCAAGCAACCAGCTACATGCTTCTTTTCAGCAGCCAATAAAGTTACAGAGCCACACCAGTGACCTCAACGCTGCTCGGCTACACTTTGTTAAGTCTCCCTCTGATCTGCTTGCATGCCCGCAAACTGTGCTATGCACTGAAAATGTTCCAGAAGCCCAAGTGTTGTTCTCTTTCTTAGATAATTTGATGAGCTGCTAAACGTTCTCATCCTAGTCTTGTGAGCTGCTCAAGAAAGAATTAACATCTGGGTTTGAAAACTCAATTCTTGAAATACTGCTACATATTACACATTACTCCTGATGCATGATTGTCACAGAAAGCACTGTTTTGTATGTAACAGTTTTCACTTACTCATCCAGTCTCAATTTTCACTGCCACCAGTTATATGTATCTCATATACAACTCCACCTTTGACCTTTCATACTCTGCTCTCTCATGAACTTGCACCTGTTCCCCAGAACATTCTCTTAGATCTTTTCCCATCACTTTAAGCTCCTAGCTAAACTTTACTTTAGTTTTAAGTTTTCTGTTCCTCAATTCTCTACTGACAAGAGCTCCTCTACTGTATGAGAGCTACACTTTATTTTATATTAGCACAACACCAGTGGTTTTCCACAGCTAGAGACTTCGTTCAGTCAGTAGTTTCACAGGTATCTATTTACCTCATAATACATCTGTCATCTCTGACCTTAGCCACCACAGTTTTCTTCTGTAAACATATTTTTATTATATTGCTTTTTTTCTTTCTTTCTTTTTTCCCAACTGATTCAAAATTTGGAAGGTAAGCTTATTTCCTTTTATTCCAATTGATTCTGAAATCTCCTTACTGTTTCATTAGACACTGCAGTGTCATGATGTCTGTCCCTGCTTACACACTCCCTTTTTCTTCATCCTACTTTGCTTTCTGCCATCACATTCTTTGACTTTTGTCAAGCTGCAGTGTTCATTTTCTCCCATTCTTGGTTTGCACTTGTTTTGAGCACTTCTTAGGAATTCATTCTCTTTTGAACATTTTTTGACCACTCCTACAAACTCACCGACTCACCTTTCCAATCTGTGTTTCTGTGTGTCTCTGTGCATTTCAGCTGTTGCATTCTGATTAGTTCATGTCTTTATTCAGTACAACTCACAACACTTGTAATTCAAGGATTAAGCATATTTAGTTGGTACGAAAAAACCCAACACGTCTTGCAGGTAACTTGCAGGAAGTATTTGTTGTGCAAAACAAACTCATGTTCATATACCCATTTCCTGAAAACTTTAACAGAAGTAAATACAACTGTACACATTTTTACATGCACTACCCAAATCTCCTGTGTAGGTCTTAATTAATTTCTGATAGAGCTAAATATCTTGAGAAATCATTCTCCTTCATTGCTTTGTCGTTAAGGACTCTATACAATGGATTTGTGCTTGAGATCAAGTATTTCTTCTATGCTTAAAAAATAAGAAAATATCACAATTCAACTTATTCAGAGCAACTTCCACAAGCCCCAAATTCTAGGTACCAGCCTTGAAAAACTGGAGTTTTGGCAAAGGAAAATTAATCAGTTGTGGCAACATGAAATCCTAAGACTAGGGGGTTTTTTTTTTGGTTGTTTTTTTCCAGTTCTTCTGATGTGCATGTCTTTAGTTAACTAAACAGCTTTATCTGACTTTCATCACAGAGCAGCACAGGATTGCACATAATAGCAGGATATAAAACAGATGCTTATACAGTACAGAAGTCCAGTATTCTGTGCCTTAGCAGATGTTTCAAAAGACAGAGTTGAGAAAACTTAACTCTGCAATAAAATTACTAAAACAGACTACATGTATGTTCTGGAAGTGCAACAATAAATAAATAAAGTGATTATAAAATATTGAGTAAGTGCTATTGCATGAGTTCTAGAAGTCTTACCTTCTTTGGAGTCCCTAATACTTGGCAAATCTTGAAAATTTCATCTACTTCACTTGTGCCTGGGAAAAGGGGTCTCAGTGTGTATAATTCAGCCATGATGCTGCCAACTGCCCATATGTCAATAGGTGAGCTGTAGATGGATGACCGCAGCAGAACTTCAGGAGCACGGTACCTATGAGGATGGGAAAAGGAGTACATAAATTAAAACAGTCATCAGAGAAAGGTAGTTCATTAATGCAGTGTATTAATTGCATCCTGTACTTACCACCTGGTGGACACGTAATCTGTATACGGTGGCTGAGATCTCAGCTCTCTAGCCAAACCAAAATCAGCTATTTTTACAAGTTCTGGACCAATACAAAGAAGGTTTTCAGGCTTCATGTCTCTATGAAAAAATCCTGCAGGAGATTAAGGAGAAATTATGGTAAATTGTGTAATTATTTCTTAAATAGCAAGGTCCAACAATCATCCAAAATTTTGGCTTTTTTTTTTTGATTCAACATAACTGAATGACAACCCCTCTCCCAATGCACACATTTAACCTCCGGTGATTATTACACCACATATTCTTTAATTAAATTTAAAAGATGTCTGTGTTGTGCTCAGGAATGCTAATATTAGTAATTCAGGCACATTACGTTTCTTGAATGCTTAGTGCTGGGCTGGCTTTAGCAGCTGTGTACCTGGAAAGCAGGTAAGTACTTGAGCAAATCAGTTCTGCTGGTTAATTAGTAGGCAAGATCTCTTTATAAAGCAAATTGATATTCACTTACTACACAGCATACTTACTTACAGCACAGCATACAATTTCTGCACGCAAAAACTGACAACCACTGTGAGCAAGTGGCTGAAATTATTACAGTGAAATGCAACTGCTTGAATTTACCATCTCTCTTATTGCTAGATACTTGTGTAGAAAGCAAAACACTAATACAGTAACTTAGAAATGGCAGTTTTACCATGTATTTTAGCTTTCTCATGTATTTCATGGAGAAGGAAGGAAGGAAAAGAAAATGCTAATAATCAGAGAACAACACATGACCTTGATCAGAAAGACAGAAGCCATCAATTTCTGGCTATCTGACAGCACCAAATGGAACTGAACCCATCAACAGGCTGTGCCAGAATAAGTCAAATCCCATCAGAAATCACTTTGAGTGAAACCTTAACTCTCTTTGGAAAGCTTTAAGGATACCACTGTCATGTGAATGACACATACAAAATAAGAGTGAACTAAGAGAATAGAAAATAATTTCTGAAATGCAAAGGAGTTCAGTGTCAGTGTTTCAGAATGCAGTTTCCAGATGTATATTACACATGATAATCAAAAGTGCTGTGAAGCTTTTGTTGATGCCACCACACAGCACCTTTTTTTTTTTTTAATGTGCTTGTAATTGCTTGAATAGTCTCAACTCTTAAAATATTTCAATGCAAAATGTATTTGATAAGGAGATTATTTGGATTTTTAGTGACCAAGTTACAGTTAAATATCTTTTATGACTAAGGATGCCATATTAGTTATGATATCTCAAGACAGGTAAGAACTGCCATCCATGAGGTATAAATGCTCTTTAAATAGATCTTTCTGGAGTAACAGATATGCACAGCACAGCATTTGAGCTTCCTCAGTTTGTTTATTCATACAGTATCTAAGAAAAGCTAAAAGTACTAAACGTGGAACTAACAATATCCAGTGTTTTCAAAAAGAAAGCATATCTGATTATAAAAGAGGTAACTTAGATGTTGTTTAAAAACACCATATTTGAAACAGTCTGGAAAAATTTTTACTAGAGATAATTAAGAGCCTTTGATGAATATTTTTATTCATTTTATTACTGTGCATTGTCTTTTTTTTCTTATGGAAGCGTTATACAAGCAAACTCCAGTGTCAAACCTACCGTGTTTATGGATGAAAGCTAACCCTTGCAGTATCTGATACATCATGTTTCTGATGACTGACTCAGGGAACAACTTGTTTCTGCAAAGAAAGATTAATAATTTCACATAATTAAGAGACTGTTTTTTCCTGTGAGACAGAACACACATTTCCTCATTTTGCACAGTGTGTCTCAAACAGATTAAAACAGACCTGTTAAGTTTTACATACATAGACTCACATAGCATATGTCAAAAATACTGCTTCCAAGCCATAATTTTGCTCACTATCTTTACTGCAGAGTGACTTCTCAGCAGAGATGTCTACTTGCAGATGAATCTGGCTGCCCTGTACTATGCTTGACTAAATGAATGCACACACTGTATCAGAGCAAGCAACTGCATAGCACCATTGTATATGTGCTACCCAGTGGTGCTCTTATGGAAGCCTGAGCAAGAGCTTCCATAGAAGCTTCCAAGAGCTTCACGTCAGTGAGCATCACACTAATGTTGCTAACAGCTACTGAAAGGCTTTGTGCACAAGGAGATAAAGGTACATGACAGAACCTGAAGGAAACACAGTAAAGGCAAAAATAATTTGAAGAAAAATATTATTAAAATGGCAAGTCCTAACCTACAGTCCACCTGAAAGCATTGCTTTGTGCTGTTTCTCCAAGACTACCACATCATACAGCACATGTAATGATCTTCATGTGCACTCATGCATGTTCACGAGAAGATGATCACCCCCACCTTAAGCCAAACCCATTAGCAAAAGCAGAATGAATGGCATTGGTCCAATCCTTCATATATTAATGAAGGCTAATAAAGAAAAAAGTATTTGGAATTTCTCTTTTGGCTCAATAAATACGAAAGACATGCAAGTTATCACACGAATAACTTCATAAAGTCTTACTCCCAGGAATATTACAATGTGCAATGCTGTTATGCTAAGCAGTGCAGAATTTTACCCTCAAATAAGCAGGTGCAGCAGATTCTGTTCACATCAGAAGCACTGCAAGAGCCTCAAAAAGAAATTCCAGTATGTTCTTCAAAACAGGCTAAGAAACATACATAAAGGATGATAGCACACTACTTGTTCTCTGAGAAAGACGTACCTGTCCTTCATCAATTGATAGAGATTTTCCTTCATGTATTCAAACACGAAGTAAAGGTGATCATTTTCTCTTATGACTTCTTTCAATTTTATTACATTGGCATGATTTAGCTTCTTCAGGGACTGTTTCAGAGACAAACACAGGGTTTCAGATAACTTGACATTGACTATCTCCTTACCTGAGCCGCATGTGTACAATGTAAAAGTTTCTAGTAAGGAATTAACAGAACATACCCATCAGGTAGCCTCTAATTATCTTGTAATCTCTCTTTTCCTAACAAAATAGCATTTTAAATTAATTTCAAAATAAAAGTAGCAAATATTAACAGCTTAAAATTCTCTTTGTGGGGATTACATCATAGCTGAGGTGAAGAATAACACAAGAACTTAACTGCCTAGAATGAAAGGCCATTCTGCACCTGTAACAACTTTTGCTTAGAGAACTGAGTAAGAAAGCCTAGCAATTTTTTTGTTTGGATCATAGAATTACCAAGGTTGGAAAAGACCTCCAAGATCATTCAGTCCGACCGTCCACATACCACCAACACTGCACACTAAATCACATCACTCAGTACAACATCTAAACATTTATTGAGCACTCCAGGGACTGTGACTGTACCACCTCCCTGGGCAGCCCATTCCAGCACTTGGCCACTCTTTCAGAGAGGTTTTTCCTAATATGTAACCTGAATACCCCCTGGCACAAATTAAGGCCATTCTCTCTAGTCCTGTCACTAGTCACACAACAGAAGAGGCCAATCCCCACCTTGCCACAACCTCCCTTCAGGTAGTTGTAGAGGGTGATAAGTTCCCCCCTGAGCCTCCTCTTCTCCAGACTGAACAATCCCAGCTCCCTCAGCCACCCTCATAAGACTTGTGCTCCAGACCCCTCACAGCTTCGTTGCCCATCTGTGGATGCTCTCCAGGGTCTCAGTGTCTTTTTTGTAGTGAGGGGCCCAAAACTGAACACAGTACTTGAGGTGCAGCCTCACCAGTGCTGAATACAGAGGGATGATCAGTTCCCTGCTGGCAATGCTATTTCTAACACAAGCCAGGATGCCGTTGGCATTCTTGGCCACCTGGGTATGCTGCTGGCTCATGGTCAGCCAAGTGTCAACCAACACCCCCAGGTCCGTTTCCTCCACCCAGACTTGCAGCTGCTCTGTCCCAAGCCTTCAGCATTGCGTGGGGTTGTTGTGGCCACAGTGCAGGACTCAGCACTTGGTCTTGTTGAACTTCATACCATTGGCCTCAGCCTGGCTATCCAGCCTGTCCAGATCCTTCCATGGGGCCATTCTACCCCCCAGAAAGATAGACTGCCAACTTGGTGTCACCTGCAAACTTACTGAGGGTGCACCAGGTCATCAATAAAGATACTGAACAGGACAGGCCCCAGTACTAACGCCTGGGGAACATCACTCATGACTGGTCACCTGCTGGATTTAACTTCATTCACCACCACTCCCTGGGTCTGGCCATCCAGCAAGTTCCTTACCCAGCAAACAATGTACTTGTTCAAGCCCTGGGCTGCCAGTTTCTCCAGGAGAACACCATGTGTCAAAAGCTTTCTGTTTTTATGAATAAGGATACTCCCCCTTGCGGGTTTCATTTCTGGAGACATTATGTCCTATTTCCGTTAAGTTAAACCTAAACTGTGGGTATTCAAGTTATGGACACTCAATTCCTCTGTTAGGGAGTTTTGTATTTACAGAAATTCAGAGGCCTGAAACATGGGACAACTTGAAATTTAAAGCAAAGTGTTCAAGGTCAGGCTTTATTCTGTCACTTGGGTAGCCAAGATTTCCAGTGTTTTTAAAAGTGTCCCAAATACATGATATGAGGACTGCCTAAACACCTAGAAACACATGCTAGAGTAGGCTGGTAAAACACACAAAAAATGTCAAATTAATTGTCTTCTCTCAAAGACAAGAGGCTTGGCTACAAGACATGGCCACTGCATGAGAATGGCAGGATATTCCACAAAGCAGAAGCAGCTCTAGGAGTTCCAGAAACCCACAGCTTTTGGAGTCTGTGACTCCCACTTAAAAAGTTCACTGAGTTTGGCCTGATGCTTGTGCGTAGTCTAAGCCCTTTTCCTTCAGACAGACCTAACCAGACACTTATTTTCAAGTGTGGTATGTTCACCATTTTACCTTGACTTCTCTCAAATTCATGCACTCATCCCATGAATAGAACTTCCTTTTCATTCTGAAATAAAAGTCAAAGAAAGTGTTTACAGTAACAGAGGATGCTTTGAGAACAAAACAGGATCCAGCTATGCTATGTTCTTAATACAGCACTACCTCTTTCTTGGACCAAATTTAAAACATTCCACAATACCTTTCAGCAACATAATCAAAGCAAACACAACTCTTACATTTATTAGAAATTTAAAATATTTCATGATTGACTGTTGCAAACATTTGTAGTTGAGTAGTTAACAGGAGACAACTTATACTATAAAGTATTTCTAAAAGCATCGAGGATGCACAATCCTGTTGCATCACTTGAATTGTGCCCCTAATAAGGAGGACAGCAACAGTGACACTGAAAATAAAACATGCATTTTGAAACAAGAAAAGCTATTTCTTTTTGCCCAAGTCACACATTCTAGGAAAACAAGAAAACTTGAGATCTGCAAAGTATCTTAACTGCCTGAAATTATAATTAGTCAACTGTACAGATCAGTCCTTTTTTTTCAAGCCTATTCAAAGATATTAATAGTGAAAAAATAATGTCATTTTTTTCAAGCAATATCTATACATAAAAGTATTACACTTGTACATAGACTGTTGTATTTATTTGGAAGTCTTAGGTAAAAATATGGGTAATTAGGTGTTAATCAGATTTTGGGACTGGGTTGTGAATGCCATGTCCTTTACTGCATTTCTGTACAGTTCTAGATCCTACAGAGCAGCTATTTAAAACTAATATTTCAATTAAGAGGCATTCATCTTCATTCAAAACTATTCCCTTTCTAAATCCCCAACCTGAAAAAAATAATTAAAAAAAAAAAAAATCACACAAAACAATTCCAAATCCTGAGATACCAAGAATGGAAAGCATTTCTCATAAAACATTGCTCCATTTGCCTGTGAGTTATACAGATGAACGCATCTCCAGATGTATTAGAAGGAAGTATGACCCACACTCACTCACTTAAGCAACTGATTTAAATATTTTTTAAAAGAGATTCTTTTTTTCTTGTACACAGACTGCACAGAGCAATAAAGTCAAGATCTTACATCTTTCCAAGTATCTTTACTCTGTGCAGACGTTACATACCGTTTGATGGCCACAAGCTCTCCTGATTCATTGCTCTTTCCCATCAACACACTGCCATAGGTGCCATCACCCAGCTGCTTCATGATTGTGTAACGGTTCATTTTTTCTTATCCAACTACAATTACTAATTTATGAAGTTCTGGATGTCTTCTGTATTTTTGAAGGATTTTTTTGCCTTTTGATTTTTTTTTTTTTTTTTTTTTAGAGAAATCTTCTTCCAGATAGCCTGAGGTTGCTGGATGTTTCCTCATAACAGAGCAGGATGGTCACCGGTCTCCTCTGAATTACATGTATTTTGAGATCCACTGAGAGGTAGAAGAGCATGGTAATTCTCAGCAGACCCTGAAGAAAAAAAAACAAGTGATTAGGCAAATATGTAATTTTATGGTGTTTTAGGCAAAAGACACCCTGTAATTTCTTTATAACAGTGACCTGAAATCTATTTGTGTTCTTTAAAATAGAACACCTCAGTATGACTAGTTACTTTAAATCCTTCAGGTGCTGAGTCTAGGATTAGGGTCACAGTAAGCAACAGACAGGCAAGATTACTGTCATCATTCCCTACTCCTACAGAATAGAAGAAATTTAACTAGACCCAGGAAAATCTAACAACTGCTCACTGCAGCATTTATTTACTGTAACCTAAATGCTTAAGTACCATCTACTGTTAACCTAATTCCAGCATTATCTCTATGTATCTGGTGTTTAAAAATCCAGAATAACTCAAGTGAGTTGACATGCACTGTCAGCCTACTTCAGCAAGAGATGCAAAATTCAGCATGCAACTTTATCCTCATGCCAGAATTAGCTACAGGTTGGTAAGGCTGTCCAAACAGATTAAGGCACTCAAACTCAGTAGGTGACAAATCTCAGGCTTGAGATTTACAGGTCTGGCAAAATGCAACAATAAAATTGGCCCTTTAGGAGCGTGAAGCCAACAAGCTGGAGCAGGCATCTGCTCAGTAAGAGAAATGCCTGCCCGGAAAAAGCACTGAACCACCTCTTCTGGTTGATGTACCAGATGTCAGGTTGGTGCAGAAGCCTTTCTTTTACTTCTTTGCACCCCTTTGCCAAGTCCAGTTCCAGCTGTGCCTTGTCCATCCGCACACAGCTTAGCTGTGAAACTTCAGGATGTTCCTTCAGAACTCAAATAGAAATGTCAAAATCGCTCTGTGGAAAGGCATAAAATCACACAAAAACTACATAACTCGACATCAATATTTAAGAACCATAATACACATCACATACATTCACCATAACATGAATGCATGCCAGGCTCTTCTACTGATGACTCTCATGAACAAGTTGACATAGTCACTTATGTTAATAGTCTGATAGTGATAGGACAAGCAAGAAAGGTTTTAAACTAAAAGAGAGAAAACTGAGGTGAGATGTTAGGCAGAAATAATTACTCAGAGGGCAGAGAGGCACTGGCACAGCTGCCCAGAGAAGCTGTGATGCCCCATTCCTGGAGGTACTCGAGACCAGGTTGGATGGAGCCCTGGGGAGCAGAGCAGGGGGGGCAGCCCTGCCTAAGGCAGGGGTTGGGACTGGGTTGGGTTTTAAGGTCCTTTACATTCTAAGCTGTCCTATGATTCCACGTTTCCATGCTCTAGACAACCAAATTTTGCTACAATCAACATCTGCACGCTTTGTAAAGTTATCATAATAGTTCTGTCTCCCAACAGATGGGAAATCCTATTGCAAACAACAGCTTCTTTTATACTCTTAGTGACATGCTGCCTATAATCTCCTCACACGGGATTACGGACGGATGAAAGCAGAGGACAAATAGAGGACAAAATGCAAACACTGGAAACCATCCACTGCTTTGTGTAAACTCAGAAAATCTGAACTACTACGTATTTTCTAATTTTAAGGAATACTACTAGTGATTTTAAATGCCTGCCTTTCAGTTTATATCAGAATTAATAACAGCCAACTATCTGCATTTCTGCCATACCTGAAATAGCCACAACCAAACGTTCCACCTCCGCACATTAAACGGGCTGCCCACATTAAAACACAACCCGAAATACACCACTCCAACAGAGAGCGCGGGCAGGCAGGGAAAACACAACCCGGTTTACACCAACCTGTCTGCCAACGCGGAGCTCAGCAGCCCGGCTCACAGCGAGGCAGGGCGCATCCCACACACGTCTCTAAGCGAAACATCGCTCCTAACCCTCACCGCTGACCCGCGCCTCCTGCCCCAGCCCCGCGCCGCCCGCTCACCGCAGCGCTCCGGCCCGGCGCCGCCAACCTCGAACCGCCGCCCCGCCGCTTCGCCCCGTTGCCGGGGCGATGCAGCGAGTGAGCGGGGCCTATGGAGGGACACGCCCCTCCGTGATCACGTGGGAGAGCGGGGGGTTAAAAGCCTGAGCCAAAGGCTGATAGTGGCTGTTAAGCTGTGATGCAGCTGTTTGCTCGCTCTTCTTACACGGGAATGTGAGCACAGTCACTGCTAATTTCCTGTTGAAAGAGTCCTCTTTGAGTGTTGATGGTTGGCTGGAATGCTAAGCATCATGGCTTGGAAATGGCTTTGCAGGCAGTGACAGCGGGTGTGCTGTAATTAATTGGTGTTGTGTGAACTTCATTTTGCTTTTGTTTAGGTTATTTTGGATTAGGTTATTTTCCCACTGATGGCTGCGTTGCCTATGGATTCCTGCAAGCCCATGGAGGTGCCGTATTGAAATACCCTCCCCTTTTTGTTCAGCTTTAACCGTAGTACTGCATTAACAGCAGCTGACTCCTTCTCCCTTTGTTCAAGAGCTGGAAGACCTCAGAGGTCCAGGGCTGGGACAACACCATGTGCTGTCCTCACTAATTCTCAGGTAGGTGGGCTCTAACACCCCGGGCTAACTTCTCGCCCTTGGGAAGAACTGTGCCAATCCTAAGGCCTTGGTTCCTTTATCTGCATGTTGCTGCTGCTGATAACGATGGGAATCACAGATTGGAAGGCACCTTAGAGTTCCAACCCTGTGCCATGGGCAGGGCTGCCCCCCACCTGCTCGGCTCCCTAGGGCCCCATTGAACCTGGACTTGAACACCTCCAGGGATGGGGCAGCACCTCACCGCTCGCTGAGTAGAGAATTTTTTCCTGATATCTAATGACATGAATGACACACGAGCTTTCAAAGGTGTATGGCTCGTCTCCTCAGAAGATGTACCCCTGCAAATTTGTTGCGTCCGCCTGCATGGCCCAGCTTTGTGAATGGGAGTAGCTCATTTGTATTAGATAACTCCCCCCAAAAAGACACAGGGGAAAACCCTACAAATCCAGAAAGAAACCCCAGAACCCACTCAGGAAAAAGCAAGAAGCAAACTCAAGAGTTCTGCCCCGCTGCACCATTAATGTCTCCAGAGGAGCCCTGCTTCCCGCTACTGCCTGTGGAGATGATGAAGGCCTCAATGGGTGCCTCAGCAGAGATCAACTGCTGAGATCAACAGAAGCACTTAAAAAATTGTTGAGCAGCCTCTTGTCTCTGGGAAGGGATCCTTTATACACCCAGGCTTTCAAGCCTTGCCATTAAAAGGCTGCTTTTTGATATAAAGGACATCCTCAGCCTGGGGACAGCTGGTGCTTTCCTCAGCAGGGCTCTTGTTGTTGGTGTGAAGCTGGAGCCACAGGTGGCTTAGTTCAGAAAGGGCAATTCTTCCCTTCCACAGCTACACTGTGACAGCAGGAATTGGTTTGATGTTAGGACATCTGTAGGCAGCCCAGAAACCGTGCTTGAGGAGCACAGTGAGTGGAGAAGCTACTTGAGGACTGAAGGGAGCGCATCTTTCTTCAAGGCTGCTGCTTCACTCGAGAAACACGCTTTTAAAGTCAATTCCACAGCTCTATAAACCAGCAGGGAGGCACTCGATTTCAGCTTTTTGTTACAGGAGCTGGCATTGCATTCCAATTGCTGTATTTTGGACAGAAAACTATGTACGACACCGAATTGAATCCATCTGCTCTTTTATCTGGAAAGGTTAAGGCATAGGTACATTGTCCCAGACACTTGTAGATGAAAAGCAGCAGCACAAAGAGAGGCTGCAATAATCTTCAGTTTTTATTTGAGGGCCACAGGTGATACAGTGAGCTAATTGCTACCATACCTTTGTATTGTGCTTGAACAGCTGCTGTGTTTATTAAATCTACCCCCTAAAAGTAGCATTTTAACAGTTGTCTGCATTTACTCAGCTGATGTACAAAGTTCTGCTTAAAAGGCCGTGTTTTGAGAGCATATAGCATAACAGGTACAGCAACAAGCTTTATACCGGTATATTAACAGCACAAAACCCCCACAGCTTCTCCTGGCATTTTTAGCACATCTGAAGGTAGAGTCACAGTCATCTAATTTCCCCAAAGCCACAAAATGGGGTACCTTACATCTTTAAAACTCTTTGACTTTGAGATCTTCTATGAGTCTCTTTCCAGTCATTTTGCTGGACCTTAATTCCTCTCCCCACCTATATCCCTATTTTTCTTCTAATGTTGGGCAACTTTGTCTTAATTTTTCTTCTACTCCCAAACCGACTTGCTATGTTTGAGAGTACAGATAAGAAGTTTCAGTTCTGTGTATAGGTATGGTGTGCATGTTTCTGAACCCAAAACTTGGTTCAAATTTTCTGGGCAGCAACTTGCCATTTGCTTAGCTTAGTGTGTAGGCTAATTATCTAACTAATGTTGTTCACCTGACTCATTTCTGTAATCTAAACCACCTTGTAGAACTGCCACAAAAATTTAAAACGAGCCTGGTGAGACAGACAGCAAATACACTAGAAGTACACTGACGTAAGCTTGATGTAGATGAATTCATTTAGTCACTTGATAAATTCCAGCTTCAAGGGACTTGAGCTTTTAAAATGCTGATCAGTCCACTGCTGAATGTTGTTGGTTAATCTGCTGTGCAACTGCATTTCAAGTACCAGACTATGTGCACTGTTCTCATAAAAGACACAAGGTTTAAAAAGCTGTACACCAAATACAATGACTAAAACCCAAGTGTTTGTACACCATACCAGACAAATAAGTTTTTGTTATTAATTTGAAGACAGCACTGGAAGGTTCTGCACATTGAAGCCAACTGGTGAACCACTTGTGTTGGATTATGTGTTGTTTTGTGCTTAAAAGCATGTTTATTAAAAGCATACAGTAGCATGCTCAAAAAAGCAAAAATGTACAAAAATATTTTCCAAAATATTTGAGTGCCTAAAAAGTTAAAATACTCAGTAAATAATAATTGATGCTGTCACCTCAACCAAATCCCTGCATGCACAGCTTTCTTGCAAGGCATACTGTTCTGGTTTCATTAAACAGCACTAGACAGCAGCTTCCAAAATATGTAAATTGAAACCAGCAATGCTGTCTTCTTCTGGGCCTACTGGAGAAGGGTTTCATTAGCTGAGAGCCAAGAGCTGCAAGTTCTCAACTTTTCTTTGTTAATTTTGGTTTTTGACCTCTTGCTTTGTCGGTTGCTTTATTCCCAGGAGAACATCACTGCTGGGGGAGTAGGGGGAGTTAGGAATTGCTTGTAGAAGTCCCTTGGAGGAAAGAGAAAGACCTAATGGTGAGGCAGGGAGAAGAGTAGTAGTAATTGACAAGGTTTGTTCACACTGACCTGCTGCTTTTAAACAAAAATGCAGTTTCCATGAGGGTTTATCATTTCCCTAGCCCACTAGTTTTTGCATTCCTTACATAGATCACAGCAGGTGGATAGATCATTCAGATAAATTATCCTGCAACTTGTCTCACTCTCTTTCTGTTGGTTGTAATCTGTAGCCACTTCTATTTTCTTTTTCAATTGCCTGGGGTGTGTTTTCCTTTCCTAGTTGGAGCACTCTCTCTCCAACCTCTGGCAGGAACAGTGGCTCTAAACAGATCACAGTCTCCATTAGAAGAGTCTGCTTTCTTCCTGAGGTGCTTTGTCTCCACATCACCGTCTCCCAGTCATGTCTGGACATTTCATACTACTTTAGAGGTACATATATTGATTTTTTTGGGGGGAGGGGGATGGGGGCATGGGGAATATGCTTCAGTTCCAGAAAGCAACAATGCACTGCTTTCTCACACCTCCTCAAATCTCAAACAACATACCATTAGCGCAACCATTGATTTCTCAGTTGACCATCCCAATAGAATGTAGGTAACATTTAGTCAGTATTCACTACTCTCAAACCTTAAGGCTTGTCCTTCATGCTCAGCATAGCTGTTCCCCAGCGGTATCCCGTACCGATAGGCCTCCACGCTCTCCACTGGTTCAGACTTTGTGGTGATTGGGTCATGCTGGTAGAGCAATGCCGACTTGATCATCCCAAAGTCTTCCTGAATCTTCATCCCTGAATAGATAGTGCCTGAGACATTTTCAGCCACATGTGTATAGCTCTGAAGGTTTTTCATGTCGCAGAGGTTGTCGCTGTATTTCAGCATGGATGGCTTGTAGGCCTGGTAGGACACTTTTGTGGTGGTTGTGATGACAGTCTGTAGCGGTGGGGCCATGGGAGAGGGGCTGGGACCGTATTTGCTGGAGTACTCACCACCATAATAAGGGTGGTTGGTGTTTGTTTGCATCTGACCATAGTCGCTCCTGTCTCCACTACCAGTTTTCCCCCAGATTGGTTTCAGTCCATAATGCCTACCAGTATGGTCAAAGCTCTTGTCAATGCTGGTCAAGGAATTATAGTGAGATCCATTCAAACTGATAGGGTCTGCATCAAGGGGAGGATTTGCTGGATCTTTATAACATGATGGGTAAGGGCTGGAGCTAATGAAGGGAGGAACTCCAAACTCGTAACTACATGGCCTGGGCACAAAGATCCTCGGATTGGGGCACTTCTGGTATGGCAACAGCTGATCCTCTTGGAAGCTGGCCGAGTCATAAGACATCTTGTAGAGGTCGGTATTTTGCGGCAAAGGGTAAGACTGAGCTGGAATTGAAAAACTGGTGTCTGTGACAATGCTGACTCTTTCTGGGACATCTATGGAGGGCAGATTTTGCATGTTACTGACATAACCACTGCTATCATGGTATCTTCCAGCCTGGAAAGGATAAGAGCTTTAAGATTCAGGAGTGGATTCTGCCTACAGTGCATATCCTGACACTTGGACTACTGATCATTTCAGTCCCAAATAAACAAATGTAGCATGGTATAAAACTTTGTGTTGTCCTGAACTTCCCAGTATGTCCTTCTGACAACTTTTTAACTGACTCAAAACCTTGACTTACCTCTGAGTTTAGAAGTCTCTTTTTCTGGGAATGCTGAGAAGACAACATATGCTTCTTAATTGCACTTCGTCTTGCCTCTGCCTCCAATTTACTCTCTGGTCTAGGGTGGTCATGGACTCCTTTAGCCTAAATAAGGATAATCAAAGAATGATATGTGAATTGCAAGTGGGTAAGAGAAAAAAATGCAGTAATAAAATGAGTGGTATCCATGACATATCCGATAGTCTTGCACAAGAGAGTTCAGAGGAGAAACTAAAGAACAAGGAAGGATTAAATTTAGAAATAAATTAATAAAACTCAGTTGTGACTTGCAGGTAGAGAAAAGGAGGAACTGATTTAGGAGAAGCCAGTGATTACTGCAGAGCTGCGAGACAGAATGATGAAGGAGCAAAGGCTCTACCCATGCCTAGGGATTCAGAAGTAGCTGATCAGAACCAAAGGGGTGATGGTGGGGAAGTATTATAAATTGAGTTTTATTGGTTTTCTGCACTCAGTTCTGCTTGATAACATCTGCCACTAAAATGACAATTTTAAAGAGGCTGAGATACACACCCTGGAAAGCCATCGAAGAATGAAATATCTATTGCAATATTTGTGAATACACAGATGTACCCAAAGCTATATTCACATATGATAAAATGTATAATGCATGCCGCTATTACACTTTTCTAAGTGGACCTTCATGTAGTCCCTAACACAAACTAGGAAACTTAAAACTGCTTTTAAAATGCCACTGTTTCTCAGATAGGTGTTAACTTCTAAGTGAGGAAGTATCAGCAATTTTGATAAAGATCTTTTCAGTCTTTGCATCTGTACAACAGCATATCTCATTAACAGGAATGATAAATAACAGGTGAGAATTTGGAAACGTCATCAGTTTGCTTCCATTTACTGACTGGAAGAATAGAGTTCACTGGAGTCTGGGTCAGGGAAAAAAAAAAACAACAACACATTCAGCAGAGAATGTCATCCCAAAACAGAAGCTTTTCTGAAGTTTTTGTCCTCACATGGCTTAAAAAGAAAAAGCAAGAAATCAATATGAAGTTTCAAAACAGTTTTCTGAATATTGTTTTTGTTTTTTTTTTTCAGCAAGTTTTAAAATCCTTGTAAGAATGTTCTTTTCCACGTAAAATGAATTTTTTACATTAGGTCTTAAGTGAGATTTTTCTCATTTTTTAATCTTAGCAGAAAATAAATCCTTGGGCCCTTGTTGAGATTCGGTCATCAGACACACGCCGAGGTGTAGGGCAAACCCTGTGTTCCCATTTGTGTAATGCCATCAAAAGAACGTTGGACGTCTATGATGGTGTTACAGCAAAGATGGAAAACATTAAACTCAAGTGTTTTTAAAAATACACTGCTTTTTTAAAAACACAGCCAAGTGCTGCCGTTTGATTAGTTGTGCCCATGTTTATAATGCACAGGAATCCATGCATGAACTAGAACTCCACCATGCTCACTCCATCCGTGCACTTATATGTGTATATAATTTGAAATGTGTGCTTTTTACCTGGAAAAATATTGCTTTGCCATCCAGTCTCCAGAAGTTGGTGACAGGATAGCCACTGTGCCCGCGGCAAGGGATGAGCTGCAGGGCTGCATTGCAGTTCGGACAGGCTTTCTCTGCAAGTACAGATAGAGAAAACACTGGTTTGGAGGGAAGGCAGAGTGCAAGTACAGTGCACTTCACTGAGATTCACATTGAGGTATGATGCTGAATGAATGTATGAAATAAACAAGCTGCAGAGTTCCAAACCTAACCGAATGGTCAGGACTAGAGCTGAAGACTTAACAAAAGCTAGCGATGGAGAGCATCATAGGCCCACTTGTCCTTAGTTATTTACAGGCATACACTGACAAAATTGGGAACTAAATACATCCCTCGCACTCTTCACAACGCAGGCAAACACACGCAACCCGTGCAAAGCAGACTTTCAAGCAGGCAAGGCCGATCTGTGTTCAGAAATCAGGCCCAGCCGAGGGAATGAGGTCCCCCGCATCCCCTCTCACTTTGCTGCTTCTGCCGCGCCTTGTCGCAGATGGCGGGCCGCAGCTGCAGCCTGGCCCCGCCGGGCAGGGCACAGCTCCCTGCACACACCACCACTCCCAGGCAGGACTTTTTCAGGATCTGGCAGTTGTGGTTGTTGGTGTTACGCATGGCCCAGCCGCTCAGGTGCCGCTGCGCGTTCTTCTCCTCGCTGGAGTAGATGAGGCGCACGTAGCCGTCCGGCCATTCCTGGAAGGCATCGAAGCGCTCGGGCTCCTGTGACAGGGAGAGCAAAGGAACATGAGCAGAAGGGGAGACTTGATGGCGGCTGAGTTCTGCTTTCTGATGACAGTGACAGGACCCGAGGGAATGGCATGGAGCTGCACCAGGAGAGGGTCAGGTTGGGTCCTTCACCAGAGGAGTGGTGGGCATGGAGCAGGCTGCTCAGGGCACGGCCCCACGGGCTGGAGGTCAGGGAGTGTATGGGCAGTGCTCCCAGGCATTGGGCTGGATTTGGGCAGTCCTGTACGGAACTGGGAGTTGGACTTCAGGATCCTCCAACTCAGTCCCTTCCAGCTCAGCCTGTTTTATGATCGTGCCACCTTGGGGTTTTGTCCCAAGGCTTCTTTCTAACACCTCTCAAGCAGCAAATTTGGAAACAGCGGAAAAGTATTTTTTAAAGAATAGCTTATTCAGAAAGAGCCTGTAACAAGTGAAATGCAGCCTAAGCTTCCATGCCTCGAGAGTCAGGAGCCATTCTCTTTTTGCATGATTTCTTCTCATAAGGAGCAGCGAGGCAGTGGCACAGGCTGCCCAGGGAGGTGGTGGAGACATTGTCCCTGGAGGTGCTCAAGAACCGTGTGGATGTGGCACCAAGGGACATGGGTTAGTGGGCACCGTTGGGATGGGTTGGTGGTTGGACTAGAAGAGCTTAATTGGTTTTCCAACCGTAATGATTCTATGGTGACCAGTAATAAGAGGGTCTCTTGCCACCAATGCCCCTGCACAGTGAGGCTTGCCCAGCTGTTGGACACTGCCTCATTACCAGCACCCCCTGGCTGCCCACCACCTGTGTGCTCGTTGTGGAGCTGTGCACCTGAAGACTGAAAGCTTCAAGTTTTAGTTGGACAGCGGTTGCTTGAAGTGCATCCATAGCAAGTAGAACAAGGAAAGAAAAGAGCAAACAAAAACCTCCCAAAACAACCCACAAACACATATGTTCCACTATATCAGTAGTGGCTCAGAGAAAGAATGCTCCCATTTGGGATGTCACCAACTTGCTGGCATTCCTCATCAAAATGTAGTTGCCATAAAAATTAAGTAACGCCTAATATTTTCAACTCCAAACTCAGCAAAAATAACAATTTCCTGCAGCGTCCCTTTAACACACATATACAGCACATGTGAGCCATCAGGGGTTTGCAGAATTAACCCATTCTGTAGCTGCACGTTATGTGTAAAATTAGATGAAAAATAAGTGGCTTGAAAACATATTAGGAGCTTACAAACAGAGGGAAAAAAAACAATCATTTCCAAACACATTCAATCAGACGTGAGCAAACAGGTACAATATCCAGATGCCTTGGATGATATCAGCAGAAAACAGTCAACCTTAGATTCTTTGGACGTGCTTAACAGGGGAAAGACAGAGAAAGGAGGTCGTTTTAGGAGCTCGCACACAGCTGGATCAGACCGTGTATTAAAGCACTACGTCCCACCCGCAGCCATACCCCGGTACCTGCGGTAGCTTGGGGTCGTTGATGTCCCAGGTGAGCTTCATGCTGGGGGCAGCGGCGGGAGGCGGCTCCCGCTTTTATCGCCTCGGGGCGGCCCGCACCTCCCGCCCGGCCCCCGGGGGCGGCCCTGGGGGTGCTGGGGAGAGGGGGGCTCCCCGCCGCCTATGGGGGGAGGGCTGCGGCCCCCCGATATCGCCACAGCGGCGCGGGGCTGCTTGGAGCGGCCCTGGGGGCTGGTTTTGCTGCAGGTTGGGAACTCTCCCTCTGAGAGAGCCATCGTGGGTTGCAGTTAATTAGGAAGTTACACACGGTGGCTTTTTAGGGGCGAAAAACAATCGATGCTTCTTCTGTTAAAAAAAAAAAAGGGGGGGGGGGGGCGTGTTATTTGTTTCAGTTCTCAGAAACAGAAAGGTTAAAAAAAAAAAAACACAACGCTTTTGTGATGCTGTGGGGACGCTGGGTGCTTCGTGCTCCCGTAATGCTTTAAACGATCCCACCTGGCCAAGGGCTTTTCTTGTTAGCTCCTCTCCCCTGGGAAAGGCACTCCGTTTCCCTCTCTAACACGAAATAGAGCCGGCCCTGCAGCCGCACCGAGACGGGATGCAGGTACGGTTTTGGGGAGAGGTGGCTGCGAGCGAGGAAGATTTTAGTTTCAGCCCTTCTCTAGCGGTGCTGGGATTCACGGCACTGCGGAACGCCGACGGTCGCTTCCCCCGGGCGGTGGGTGGGGGAGCGCAGTCCGGGCCGGGACTCTGTGGGTCTTAGAGGTCCCCAGAAGATGCTGAAGTTTCGTTTAGGAAGTAGAATGAGCCTTGGGGGGAGGATACGGGGACTGAAAGTTTGTCGGGTTTTGAGCAGAAAAGTGTTTTATTTTTCTTAATTGTTTGTGCTTCCTCTTATTTTCAAAGAAAGGAAAACAGTGAAGGACGGAGTAGAGAGATAAGGAGCAACATGGCAGCCCATGCAGAAGACTACGTAAGGAGTCTTAAGTACATCTTTAGTTTTATTTTGCGAATGTCTACCTGCATATAGTTACTTACAAATACTTGGTTATATGAATGCAGCAGCAGAGCTGTCAGTTATTTAACGGAAGTAAATATAGACAAAGTCTTCAATTCTCCAACTTTATAAATGGCACTGTGAGTGTTTTCTCATAATCAGTCCTCCAGTGCTTCAAATGTTTGCTTCTGTTAAATCTCTGCTGTGTTTGTTTCCTTTATCTCCGCAGCTCGAATCACTGCTCATTGATGCCTTTAAGGGGAAGGGGTACCAAAAGATAAGTGACCTGCTGCAAGAGAGAGAAACAGACACGCTGCAGAAGTACAGCAGCTCTCTCCTTAGCCAGCTCGACAAAGCACTGAGAAGGGTGAGTACCACAGCCCGTGTACCAGAGCTGATCTTACCCACCCTGTAATGCTGCCTCTGCTCCCCACGGACTGGGATGGCAGAGCGCAGCTCCACGTCTTTCCACAGGAGCTGGACAGGAATGACTTCCACAACGTGTCCCTTCTGCTGAAGTGCATCCAGCTCTACTTCAAGAGTGATCTCCAGCAGGGGACGAGCTTGTTCATTGAGCAAGGACTTGTAGAAAAGATGAGTATAACACCCTAAGCAAATTGCTAATGTGACCTAAAGTTGTTTAATATCAGGGGAAAGGATTTGTAGTGAGAGCTAGAACATGGCTTATATGGTTCTGCCAAAAACGTATATATATTTTTTCCAGATATATTTCATGAGCTGAGTGAAAAAAATCTTCTACCTTCCTGACACTGTTTTCAAAGCAAAAACTAATATTATGGTTATATCTATCACCTGACTTAAAAGGACTGTTGTTTCTTTTTTTTTTTTTTTCAAGCTGACAGTGAAGGGAGAGAATGAATTGATGAAGCTCATTTATGAAATAGTAGAAATATAATAAAGAGTAGAAACATAATATTTAACATATATAAATCATATAATAGAATAAAATAACTTTAAAAGAAATATTCTGGTTAAATTTCAAGTGCTGCAGCAAAATACTGTGTTAGTAATGGAACTAATGAACAACTTTGTGCTTTTATAACTTCAAATGCTGGATATGCTCTCTAAGCAGGTCTGCTTTAAAGTTTAGTGCAGGATCTGCATTTAATTTGTAATCGTGTTTTCTCTAATCAGCACAGTGCTGCTTTCAGCTGGCATCAGTTGTAGCAGAAGAAAGGCACCTGTGTTTGAGACTAATGATGCCAGGCTCTCATAGGCTCTGTTAGCAGGGCTGTGTCCTCAGCCCAACTCACTGCACCATTGCTTTGTAGTGATGCTTTTTAGGGATATGGTAGCTCAAAATTTCTTTCCAGATAGAACATTAACCAGTTCTTGCTTGTCTGATCTCTGTACCTCCAGAGATGCATAGATTTGTAGCTGCTCCTAGGTGTGTGATGCTGCTCAGTGTCTTGGCTAGCATGTATTTGTAACATCCAAAATCAAAAGCTTGGAAAATCTCTTATGTGTTATTTTACTTCCAGAACTTTTGGAGCAGGTAACTTTGTAGCAGCTGTGATGCTGCAGAGCAAAAGGACAAGGGGTCTCAGGCACCAAGGGCAGGTGCTTTGTGACCACAGAGGAGGGCAATATGGGGAGGAGAAGTGGTACAAGTGCTGCTGAGTGCTGTGAGTGGCAGTGTGTGCAGGTGGCAAACAAAACTCAGCTCTTTCACATCATGTGGCTTTTAACACAGTATGGGGCTGTGAAATGCAGGCGTTGAGAGCAGTTCTGTGTGCATAACTTTTGTTGCAGATACGTGTAATGTAAGGTTTACTAGCTTGTCTTGCATGGCTTTAACTGATTCTCTTAATTTTTACATGGTATCCTGGTTTGAAAGAGCAAGAACATTTGTGATCCTCATTGACCCAACTGAAAATAGTTTTTTGATGGTACTTCTGGAAGACTTCTTTGACTCTGCATTGGTATGTGCATGTATTAAAGGGAGTAGAAGGGCTGTCTTTTACTGTACAAGATAGCCATCATTCACAAACAGTTTTCTATCAAGTGCAAATGCTTTTGCTGAGGTGGTTCTGGCTGTTTGTCCCTGTGCTATTTGAAACAAATGATTTACTCATGAAGACTGGTCTGTCATTTAGTACTTGTTTACAATATTCACAACTTTAACCTTACTATAACACTCATTCCAATAAGGAAAATACTCCAGATCTCACTGTCTGCACACACGCTCTTGGGTATGTGTGTGAACTACTTGTGTGTGCAGGCATCAGCCTAGCTGGTTATCTTATTTACTAGAGCCGTGTATGATCTGATTGCAAGAATTAGATCAACTGCTTATGACTTGTTAGCTGTCCCTGGCTGCAGCTTGATTTTCTTTTACCATCTCCATATATATATAACTTATATATGTATAAGCAAAATCGGGCCTTTTTGTTTCTCCTTGAAATTATACAAAAAGGCTCCATAGATAAATTATTTGTCAGTTTGATGCCTTTGTCTTTCTGGCTCATTTCTTCTGTATGTTTTCACTGTGGACAAGGTGATGGTTCTGTGTTTCTTTTTGTTATCTTTGTTATTTCTGACCATTTTTTTTCCCCCAAGTGACTCCAACACTCTTCAGATACTGCCTGCAGCAATACTTGTGGTTGAAGTGTGTAAACATAAATAGTGTTGTAATGCAAGGGTGCCCATATGTGCACCCAGAACGTGCTGGGATGTGGGTTTTGCAAGAATCAGAGGGTGCTGCTGAGTTCCCTGTGGGACTGGGTGCCCTGCTCCTTTGTGCTCTCTGTGATGCTGGGTAACCATATGTGACAGCTGTCCTGGTTGGCAGTGCTTTAATGGATGTGGGTGCAGCAGTGTTTTAGGCTATTTCAGCCCCTGAGAGGTGGGATGGTAGGGACACGAGCACTGAGACACTTTGGCTACTGCTGTTCTTGAGTTGCTGTATGCTAATGAAAACTTCCCTTACTTCTTCATTAGGTGATTTGCAAGTGCAGTAACGAAGGTCAGTATGTGTTATCTTTCCTATGTCTTCTGAATCTCAGCCTCAGGAGCACATTTCTTAATGCTATTTGAAATCTATCCCCTCCCTCCTCTCCTCTTCCTCCTCCTCCCTGTAACACGTACTTTAAAATCTCCTAGTCTCCTTCCAGTTCATTTTATTAACATATATACCAGAGCACAAAGCACTTTCATTTTTAAAAAAATTTTCTTACGCTAAACATACCAGCTGTGGTACCTTGTTTAAATGGCCATCATCAAGTATTTTGCTCAGCAAGAGGTCCTGCTGAAAGGATGCCAACCCACATGCCATCCCTTTGCAGACCAGTGTGGTAACTGTTCCCCCTTCCCCCCCCCCCATAAGCTCTGTTGAAAGCTGAATCTGTGACTGGGGCAGTTTTACTTCTTCATGAAAACACTGCAAACTGATGTTGTTTCACTTATCTGTAATGCAGATGTTCTGCTCATTGCTAACTGCAGCCTTGCAAACTCTTTTCGTAGGGAAGAAGCAGTTGGTGAACTTGTTTCTGCCTGAGCTAGGGCGTCTGGTGACAGAAGCAAGCGTTTGCTGTGCCCTGCGGCAGGAGGTAAGGCCCACGTGTTGAGAAGAAAACACAGGTGAGTGTGTGTGACTGAGTACAAGCGTGAGAAATACCTAACTGGCTTCTTTCTGTCCCTGCTCCATCCTCTGCTGGGGGAGAAAGGCTTTGAGGACTCTCAACTCTATACTTGATAGCATCCCACGTGAGAGCAGGAAGAAACTCCCGCTGTCGGAGGAGGTGTGTTTCCTTACGTAAGTGTTCTCCAGCCATTGCTGTTGCAGGGATGGTGGCATTCAGTTGGGCTGCAGCACTCTCTGGCTGCATGGGCACAGATGAAGTTACTGAGCTTACTATTGTGTTTCATACATGATTTTTTTTCATGAAGTGATGTTCTGTAATGTTATGCTTCTATTTAGTCTGTTAGTCCAACTTTAGTGTTTTAAATCTTGTTGTGTTCGGTTCTTTCAGGAAGGATCTTGCCAAAACAATGCTGGAGGCTGGTGGTAAGAAGTACTTAGTGGTTATTCTTAGCAGCAAGGGTTCTCTGCCTTCATCTGCTTATTTAATGCAGATGGGTTATGATTTAAATTATTTCCTTGTAGGTGGTTGATTTTAGGGGAGGAAAATCTGATGGTAATTTCAGAAGTCTTATAAAAATGATTAGATGCAACAATTGTGGTTTTTCTAACTAGATTTAGTGATTCTTATTTCCTAATAGGAAAATCTAACATGATACATGTAGAAATGTAATGATGAAGGTAATTACAAAATGTGCTTGCAGTTATTCTTAAACGAAACAAAAAACAAAGCCAACAGATCCAAACTTTAACCACAGACCTCTATGTGAACAAACTGCAGTTAAAGGAGTTTTATTAGCTCTCAAATCAAATCTTCATTTAGTTCTCCCCTAGTCACAGCACTTCTGGGGCAGTGGCTGAGTCGCATTGCATGTGCCATGATAAAAGCGTGGTGGCAACAAGAGTTTGCTCTCATCCTCTCCCTGCTGTGCAAGAACATCCCCCAGTGCAGCTGTGTGCAATAGCTACTGCATTCTTGCCACCTGGACACCCTCCCTGCTCACCTTTACAAGAGTTACTGTCCCTGGCTACTCGACACTATCATTTGCCTGGGTAAACCCAAACAGAGCTGAGGAATCAACTTATAGAGCGTTAGTGTAAAAGTAGCAGTACTGATCCTCTGTGTTGCTGGAAGGGAGTATATTTATCCTGTGCTTATGTTTGCCATGTAGATTATGACCTTCAGGTTGCCCTTTCGGAAGCACTCTGTAGGCTAACGATAAAAAAATGGAGAGATGACCTTGTTAACCACTGGTTTGAAGATAAATATCTTGCTGAAGCTTTCAAAGAGATCAAGGATAAAGAATTTGAGACGGTGAGGGTTCTTATTTTGAAAACAACATATTTGACAAGACTGCATAGGGGCTGGTTTTGTTTGAGTTCAGTCAGGATGTCCTTGGAAGATGTTCCCAAAGAGCTGATTTTATAAATATGAAATTACTTAGTTATTTGTGGAAGGTATTTCTTTCTAGCCTGACAAATATAAGAGAGAAGATCTCTTCTTTCCAAAGTGCTTGCTTGTATGTTTTATGTTCAGAGGCTGACTGGTTATACATTGGGTTGAACCCTCAGTAGCAACCTGGGTTTCTTTTTGCCAGTGGCTTTTGTTGCCACACCAATGAGTTAAAAGCTTTTAACTGGAGTAGAAGCTATAGATCTCCAATAACCTATCACTTTTTCCAAAGGAAACACAGCCTGATTTTTATTATTATTTTTTTTAATACAATGTTATTTGTCTTGAAGGACTGCAGGAAATTTCTTAACCAGTTAAATGAAAGGCTTGGGGATAAAAGAAGGTAAGCTGTGAAGCAGGAAACTGAGCTGCAATCCATTTGAAAACTGTTGGGAAAAGTTGTTAACTTGTGTTATGTTCCACAAAAATGATTTACATCACAGGCATGAATAATTAAGTTGTTCTTAAGAAAAGGATTTTATTCATTCTAGTCGTGGTTCTTTGGAAAGCTGAAATTCATGAGGTATCACTTTGTTTTTCCCCTAAGCTTCTCTAAACTTCTTGAAAGTTATCAAATTTTTTTTGAACAGTAAAATTAGTAGCCAATCTTAATGGATTCAGCTTTCAGCAAGTTTGACTGATGTTGAATGTGTCACATGAAGTCTGCTTTTCTTCCAGAGTCTATTCATTTCCTTGCCTGTCTGCTTTTGCTGACGTGAGCCAGGTAAGAGGTAGTAGTGCTGGGTTGCATTATCTACAGCGCTACTGCGGTTCTTCGTGCAGAGTATGTTTCTTCATCTGATTTTTTTTCATTAAAGAACTCTATTTTCCAGAGTACAGCATGTAACTCTCCATTCTAGTTCAAAAGTTTGCTTGTTTGTCAACCAACTCCTGACTTACTGCTGCTGACTTTGCTTTTGTGTCAGCCAAATGACAGAGGCAGCACTTCTTTTCACGGTGATGACTGAAAAGAGATCTAAAATGCATCAGAAGGACTCTGATTCCTCTGGCAGGGCTCCTCCCAGGCTGCTAGAAAACAAGATCAGCTTGATGCCCATGTAGGAGAGGTCACAGTTGCGGTTATAAATTCTCCAGATTGCTTTCTAAGTCTTCAAGTAAATGTACATATTTGTGGCACTGTTCCTGACAGTTGTACCAAAACAAAACAAAGTCACTAAAATGCTTTGTTGAAAGCTGGTACTGCTGCTTTGGCTTATCTAATGTGCTCAGAAATCCAGAAGGCTTCAGAGCCTTTACTTGATGCCAACACGCAGGCATTTGCACGAGGTATTTCCTTTCACTTAGCTGATGTACAGCCCTGTTCTGACTTGTTGGGTATGACTAGATGAGTGGTAGGCTTGCAACTCACAGGTTGATTCCAAGTTAACTTTCTGGGAGGCATACGTATGTGTATATGTAGGGCAACTTTTTTCCAATTTCATCTTGTTAAAGAAAACTGAGAATGTCAGTTATGTCAGAGGAAGTGACAACACCACTGCCACATTTTCCCAGGTAAAGAAGCCATCAGATGAGAAGCTGGACAAGTTCTGGATTGACTTCAACACTGGCAGTCACAGTGTGACTTTTTACATAGATAGTACTGAGGTAATCAAAAAGCCCTGGCAACCCTGAGTTAGCCTAATGCAGCAGGTTGATGTTCTATTGCTGATGTGTTGGTTTTGGTTCTCTAAGGGTGTTCTTTGGGACTCTGTAAGGCTGCAGAAAGAAGCAGTCAGCTGTTACAGTCTGAAGGGTAAGACTTGTCTGCTTGCCTTACCTTCTGTTTGTCCACAAGTCTGCAAGGCAAAGGGAGCCAATGTAAAATATGGGAACTCTTTGGTGATAGTGATGCCTTCCCTTCTTTATGCTGAGTAATTTGATCACTTTGCACCAGCACTCCCTATGCTGATTTATGGCTTGTGCTTATGTTGAAGATTGGGTTTTCAGTGGCCTTTCACAACGGTTGATTGACTGGTGTGAGTGAACAACTTCACTAGCCACGTCAGGCTCTACAAAAATTCATTTTCTGGATGATGCTGGGGGACAGCTACATTGCCATTAAAAGCAGAACCAAAACAGTGACTGAATGCTTGCCACCAGTGCTTCTCTGAGCCTCACTAAGCTACTGCATGCATAGATGACTCTTCCATGTTGTATCCTGCAGTGGCAGTAGAGAAGGAAGAAAGGTTTGCCTGTGTTGTTCAGTACTGTGCTTTTCACATGCTTGCTTGCAGTAAGGCTCTGTAAGTTACTGAGGTGGTGAAGGAAGCAGGTTGTTCCTTGCACCCAGTCAGGATGTATTGAGGGATCTCATCTGTAGCTATGAGGGTAATGGATGCATAATCACCTGGGCCCAATGAGAAAGAAATGGATGGGCAATGTAACTGGAAATGCCACAGGCAAGGTGTGAAAGACACTGCCTAAAAATTAAAAGAAAAAAACCTCACAAACACAAGTATTTAGGATGATAGACTGAATGTCTTGGTCTAAAAGAGATCTGACTTTTGCTTTCCCTACAGAGGATGGTGGAGAAAAGATAGTCAAAATTTATATGAAGATACCTGCTACTCTTAACAAAACAGAAGTAACAAAAATCAAGTTACATTTCAGTGCTGAGTATGAAATCTTTAGTATACTTAAAAAAGTCCTTGGAGATGAGAAAATGATGGTAAGCTCTTAGCATTAAGTTTCTTTTTTTTTTCTTTACTAAACTGTGTTTTATTGATATATGATTGGTGAAAACACCAAGTGGCTTTTTTCTGACCTGTTTGTTATGTATTATTCTTCCCCTTGAGATTTTGTGGCACTGAATATGGCTGTTCTTAACTTTGACCTGAAATAGATAGCAGGCACTTCATAGGAAAAAAAACTTATAGGGATTCTAATTTATGCTTTAGAAGTGGGAAAGGTTAAACTGTCTTATTAATCAGTTGATTGATATGGTTGCTTCTGCTGGATTTTTTGAAGAGGTAATAAAGCCTGTTGCATTTAATTGCCTTCCTTGAACTGAACTGTGAACAAGTTCTCACACTCGCTTTTGCACAAGTTGAACAAACTGTGACACAGAAGCTGATGAAAAGAGCAACTACAGGACATAGACTGACTTTGTAGATACTACTTTTAATCTAAACAGTAGAGGTTTGTTTTTTTTAAGTTTGCTTTTATTGTATAATGGAAGAACACAGGAGGGTGCTTTTCTTTGATTATTTATCAGTTTGATAATTTCTAATACATTTAATTCATCTGCAGACCGTGGGATCTACAGAAAATCTTATGTCAGAATAAATAGTTGCAATATAGTGGCAGGGGATGAGACATTTCCAAATGGTCAGCTTGGCAAGTGTCCAATGGTTTGCTGCTGGTGATTAACAGATGTTAATTATGCTGAATTAGATAAAGGATTCTACTTTAAGGTCATTTCACATAAGATTCCTTCACGTTAACAGACAAACGTGGGTGAGGAGGAGCCCATCCGCAATGAGAAGCAAACCAGGCAGAGTGAAGAAGGTGATCCCTTTTGTCATTGTTTTATTTTATGGGATTTAAGTTGTTCAGTTTCAAAATGAGTATCTTCACTCACGGTCCACTGCTTGCAATTAGCCACATTAGGAAAACAAAAAAGGCAGGGAAACAGCTCATGGAGACTGGATGTGTGCACTGGCAGCTACAGCGTGTTTCAGTTTTCTTCAGACAAATATCCAAAAGAGCTGCTTCTAGCTGCAGATATGGGATAGCAATTCTTTCAGTACTCCTTCCCATTTCTCTCCGTTTATAACCCAAAGTAAGCACTAATGGAAGTCCTCCAGGTGCTGAAGGCACAGGTGAGGAAGCTCTTTCATCAGTGTTCACCTTGAATAATGTACTCAGGTACAAGGTGGACTCTACTCAAAGCAATCAAGCAGCACAAAGGGTAGGATGTAGTTTGTCTGTAGATAAACAACCTTTGTAGTGCGTTTTGGAGAATCTAACAGTAAAACAGATAGTGGAAGTTCTAGTCTGGTACTTCAGTGGGATACAAGAGGTTGTGCCACGTGTTGCAGAGCTAAGGGTTAAAGCAGTAATTGCAGTAATCTTTGTGTGTGATGAAGGGTAGGCTCAAGATGCTTATTTATTGAGCATTTCCATTCTGCCCTTGGTAACTTAGGCTTTTTTAATGTTTTACTAAGCGTGATCTTGATGTTTGTCTAATAGCTGGTACTGTTACACTTCTGCATGCGTGCTTAAGAACAGAGAGGTGTATGTATTTAAATGTCATGAAGATATTCTCATCTAGATTGTTGTTCTGCAGTGACATCTCAATCCAGTGTTCTACAGAAGAAAGATCCTGAAAACTTAGAAAACGTGGATTCCGTAGCAGAAAACTTGATCTCGCAGCACAACGAGCAGTTAGTGGGCACTGTAGCAGTGAGTGTTTGGTGTATGGCAAAGCTGTCCTTCTGTCTCCTTTTTCTTCCCTCCAGTTTTTCACAAGAGTAATTAAAACCTTCTTTCCAAGAGGCCTGGTTTGTACTCAGAACTGACCTATTTTTAAACTCCACCTTTCTTATATCAGTGGGAAAGTCAGCCTAAATACTTGTCCCCAGATCTGAAATATTGGCAAAATGCTTTAAAAACAAAACAACAACAACAACAAAAACCAACCCACAACTTCAGGACAATGGTGGAATGATCTGTGTGGTGCTCACAGTATCACTCAAATATAACTCAGACTTATTGTATGCGACTAGCAATGATCGTGTACTGCCGCAGGCTGGCACTGAAATTCTGATCTTGTAAAACAAACAAACAAAAAAACCTGAGAAAACCCCACTTTATTAGTCATAAATGTGCTCTGTTGCTGGTTTCATGTCTCCAAGCAGGAAACTTCTAACTCTGTTGTCACCGTGACTGCAGTGAACCAGCAGTCTGGCCTGGACGAAGCTGACCAAGGCTCAGGTCAGGCATGGCTCTCTTCAGTTCCTTAAGCGTGACCCAGTTAAGTGTCACCTGGGTGACTTGGTGAAGGTTCTGCTTTTGTGGGCTTTCCAGAGAAAGCAGGCACACAAAAACATTTACTAGTTGCTCCAGAGAGTGAAGCTGTAGTTTCCTTGTCTCCTTCAGCAAACAAGTCCAAAACTCTATCTCCAAGGATGGGTATGAAGTCTAGGTAAGTGTCTTTTGGAAGCTGGAAGGTGTTGGCTTTTTTTTCCTCCCCTTACCTTGGGTTAAAGTGCATGTGATTATGAGGTTTGTTTCATCAGTTATGAGATGAAAAAAATAAACTGCTTTGCCATCCTGGTTAGCAAGGTGATACTGCCTCTCATGCCTAATTTAATTAAAATGCAATGTAAGTGAATGCAATGTAAGTGTATACCTTATTATTACGCTATACATTAGTATAGTGTAATAATGTTATTACATAATACACTAGTATTACAGATAGCTTAATTTCTGTTGCATGCTCAGTTCAAAGATATAGCTGCTTGTAATAAGGACCATGATTTTTGTGGAAGATGATGTGAAATTGTGTCCACTTTGGTGTTACTGATACCGTTTTTCAGAGCTGTGAAGGACAGTGTTATAGTTAATGAGCTGCTCTTCTATAGAGGAGCTTTTGTCCCTATGCACATGCTAAACCACTGCTTCAAGGCTTATTGGTACAAGTTCCTTTCCTCTTAATACTTCATGAATGGACTCTGGGCTTTAAAACACTATCCCCTCAGCACTGTGCTCACTCACGTATCCTCCACAGTGGGAAGCCATCAGAAGAGAAACTTACAGAAGCATCAACGCCCAAGGTATGTTTTCCTTGATACTGAGTGAAGACACGTGAGGCAAGAGATGAGATGTTCTGGTGTCTTTCTTCCATGTTTTTGTCATACTTAGCCCTGCACAATGAGTTCAAAGCTTCTAAACTGTTTCTTTTATACCCTCAATACCCTGTCCCCGATTTCAGCATCAGAACTGCCATGCTTTCTGGTAGGAATGAACTACATAGCTACAGCTAGGCTGTTGTTGGGATAGGAAGGCTGTTGTTTCCTGATATTCCTGACCCCTACTTTTATCAGACTTTAGGTTGAATATGTGACTCTGCATATAGCAGCTTTTGATCCCATAACACTTTTCTTTTTAAAAGGTTGGTACCTTGGAAAGGAGAACCAGAATAAAAGGTTTGGTCAAGCAGAAGACTGGAGGCAGGTATGGTGCAAGCACATAGTGGGGTCTGGTATCCCAGATGGTTTTATCTCATAGCTGCAATAATGGAACTTGGCTGTCATAACAGGATCCCAGTTGTTTGGTATCTCGTGTCCTGGAGCTCTGAGATGGCTTTTCCTCCCTGCTGTGGTGTTGGTTGTGTTTGGCTTTGATGTGTGTCCTGTCTAATCCAGTGATTCTTAGTTTATAAGACATGCTTGGATGTGGATAGAAATAGAAAAACTTAGCACAGAATGTCAGCATCACTGCGTAGTCTGTGTTCTAAGTTTAAGTACCTTGGTGCTCCCTCCTCTTCAGAAAACAGGAATAACAGTATCAGGCTGGAATGGAGATGTGATTTAAGCGCAATCGTTCTGCTCCCTCTAGAGCTTCATCTGAAAATAAGCATTTCTTTCTAGTAAGAAGTCTTACTGAGAAGTGTGATTGATTGATTGATTTTACTCTTTTTGTCCTTTTACTTGTGAGAAAAGGAGAGTATGCTGTGTGTTGAGAACTAATTGTAGGACTTTTAAAGTAGCTGTTATTTGTGAAAAAAAGAAAAATACCCTTCATTTTAAGTAATTAAGGGCACAAAAACTAAATAAGAAAAGTGATTAGGGAACAAATGTTTAAATTTAAACTTCCAAAAGGGAATTAAATACTGGGAGGAACAGGGGGGTGAAACTCGATGATCATTGCGGTCCTTTTCAACCCGGACCATTCTATGATTTGAAAATGTTGTTGTTGTTTTTAATTTTTCTTGAATGCTTCTAAACTTATCTTTCATTCATGACTTTCTCCTACCACGTGCTAAGGAATGATTTGTATTAGGCATATGACACTTATTTAATTATGAACTTCAAGTAGTAAAACAGTTTGTTCCCCTCCCTCAGTACTTCTCAGTGCCTTTGGGTGACTGCTCATGGCAGCCTGCCACGCTGTGTTCTCTTGCAGGAAGGACTGCTATGACTTTGAGGTCTCGGACTCTGCAAGTCATGAGAAGGTAAAACTGAGGCAGCTCTCGGGCTGTTCTGAGCTCATGGTTCAGCAACTACCAGAGAGCAGAGGCTTACAGTGAGGGAATACATTTGATCACAGATGTGCAGCAAGGGTGGGTGTGCTCACATAGCAAAGCAGGCAGATTGTATTTCTCTTTAGTGTTATACTTAAGGAATGGTTTTCAGGAGTGGGAGAACTGCTACAAACTGGACACCATCCAGTCCTCTCTGCTACCACTGGGTGTCAGCATGAAATCTTGCTATGTGATACACAGCCTGATGTCCTGACAGCTCCATCCAAACTCCATCTGGGTAGAACTGCTCTAATTTTGGAGATGATTTTACAGAATAAATAAACTTTAAGACAAGCGTGTGTACATTTGATTTTTTTTTTTTTTTCTTATTAGGTTTCTGAAGCCAAAGAGAAGGCTTTCAGGAAGAAAAATTATTCACAAAATCAGAGGTACAGGAGCACCATCCATGAAATGCTTCTTTGTTGTAAGAACAGCTCATTGCCTTAGTTAAACTGCTGAAACTTAAGATTAAGAAGGCTATGGTATGTTTCCAAAACAGTTCCTTACTTAGCTATCATAGCACCTGCAGATGTTGGATGTCACCTACAGCAGCATTTAAAGAGAATCTGAAAATGTGAGAATTACTAAAGAGAAAACTTATTCTTGCATACTTTGGTAACAATAACACTTGAGCTCTCAAACTGATTTACCTTTAGAAAAATATTGAAGTCCTCTGCCTTTCATTTAGATGCTAAATTTTGGATATTCCCAAATTGTGACTCATAGAAACCAGACAAAGGGAAGGGATAACTGGCAATAGAAGTGTTGAGTTCTAACTATGAATTTATCTTACTATTGATCTGTGTGTTTTTGTAATTGATGAATTACTGTTTATTTAATTTGTCAATAGTGCAATTGATAAATGAACTAGTAGTAGTGGCTGTGCATGAACAGCTTGCTGGTATCATAGCATGCACTGCTGTTGCTGTTTAGTTGTGAGAGGAGGCAGGAAGATGTTCTAAGCCCTGTATTAGCAAAGGCAAGTATCTGTCTTTGTGCTCCTAGTGTTTTTATGCAGCTTGAAATGCTTCAGGTGGGGAGCAAAGAATGAAGTAATTTCCTTTAGAGGAAAAGAATGGCTGCTGAGCTTTCTGGGGAGGGGCGGAGGGGAGCTGGCTGAACAGGACTCCTAATGGTGTCTTTCATCTTAGTTACAGGAAGCATCTCTTCTCTGAAAGCAATAATGAAAAAACAAGCAACAGTGAGAGTGAGAAAAGCTGGATCATCAACTCCCAGAAAGAGCCACTGCCAACATCTTTCAACTACACCCGGAAAAGGCGCAGGGTGAGAAGGAAATTAAAAGGTAGGCTTGGTTCACATCGTGCATGGTGAGCAGGTAACGCTACAGGTTTTCTTTTCCTTTTCTTTCTGGCGTTTTTAGCCGTGCTGCAAACCAATGGAGATGGCTCCCAGTTTGTATTGCTGGTAACCAGGTAAAACTTTCTCCCCACAGTACTTCCAGTGTCATCTCCAAGCAGCGGCAATGAAAACCAGATGGAAGAGGTGAGGGGTTTGTCATGCATAGATTTAGAAACAATATTGATACAAAACGTGAGCAAGTGAGTGGGAGCCAATGCATTTGAATCATCTTCTCATATTGTTCTAATGAACAAATGCCAGTTAGATATTGCTGATGCTGTTGGGCTGCTAGAGACTGAGGATACAAATTCTCTCCTTTCAGCTATATCTTCTGGAAAGCTAGCCATGAGTTATATTGACAGACAGCAAGTGGACCAGGCATACATAAAGCAGAATAAAACACAGTTGAGCAATGCCAGGCTGTTCTAGTGCCCAGCTGTTAGGTGCTGTATCTGAAATGTTTTGAAAATGGTCCTACCTGAACGCAGCAAGTATGGGAAAAGTTTCTAGAACTTGAAGCTGCACTGAAAATGTTAATCTTTCCCTGGAAACCTTTTCTATTTTCTCTTGACTGAAAATGCTTTGATTCTGCTGCTGAAAAACTTACTACAAAAAAATATACTACACAGCTTTACTGGCTAAATGCAGAACTTTAGCATGCAGGTAAGTTCAGGGCACAGCATTGAAGAGAGCTATCAGTTTGTGTTAGGTACACCTTGAGGTTTCTGCTCTTACAAATTCTCAAAAATCAATCCACTCCAGAAAGACCATTTGTACTGTTTAAAGAAAATATGTACTAAGACTTGGTTTTGTTTTAGCAGAGAACAGCAAGACGAAAAGATGAAAAGAAAGTGTCAAGGAAAAAACACACATCCACCTCTAAGGGTGATGATTTACCTACCGTGGATCTTGCTGGTATTTCTTTTTATACTGATGTCCAGTGTATTAGAAAAGTGCTTTGCCTCTTCTCTTCACTTTGCCTCATAAATGTTCCACCTGGTAACATTTCCTGTAGTGACTGCAAGGCCTGACTATTGTTGGTAGGTGAAGTCCCTTGAGCAGAGAGAGCAACAGCTGGGGCTGTTGATCTGGTTTCTGTGGAAAGGATATGCTGTGTTTGTGCTACCTTACTCTATCCAGACTGCTCTGCTACCTGTACTTAAGTGCTCAAGTATTGTTTCTTGGAAGAAAAAAAAAAAAGACAGCTCCCTTCAAGCATTATAATTTAAAACTTTAGGGGAAAAAAAAATAGTGTGGATATTAATACAAAGGAATTGGCATTTTCTTCTGTGTTGGAAAGCAAGTATTGAACACAGACAGACTGTGGCTTGTATTTCAGGCTGAGTTTTCTTCTCTATTCTGCAGTGCTGATTAACTTTAAAAAAAAAAATTATAATTTTAATGGTAGTTCATGTACTCTGTAAAACAAATGATGCTCATGGTAAAGATGCACACAGCATTTATTCTGGTATGCAGGGAGCTTTACCCATGAAGTATGGATGGTGTTATTCATATGTCATGGTGAAAGTGGTCACAGACAGGAGTGGCTGAATCCTTTGGCTACCTTCTCACTCAGGTGATGTGCCATCAGAGGAGCCCACATGGCAGCTACTGGATGTGTCTATGGAGGAGCACTCTGTTGTGGAGCAGGATGTGACACAGGTTCTGTATGCAGTGCTTGAGTTCTCCCAACCTACCCTCAGCCAGCTTCTCATCTGCAGGCCATCCATGTATTGTGTGATTTTGCTTAATCTGTAGCCCCTGACAGCTTGCCTGTCTCCTGGATGCTGCCTTATTTTCTTTTCCATCTCTCCTTAGAAGTTTCGCAATGTGCCTGGTGAAGAGACAAGAGAAGAAGAAAGCTTTAAGCGGAAGGACTCGGGTACGTTGGTCTTAATACGATGGGAGAGCTGGTTAAAAAGCAGAAAGGGATGTTGAAGGAGTTGTCAATTTCTTTCAATGGCCAATAAGCAGGGAGGTTTTTTGATATTTAAAGGATGCCTTTTGCACAGGAAATAGTTTCAATTTCTATGTTTTTAGTATTGTGGTAGGCTATGGCAAGATGCTTTTTATATAAATTCCTGAATTCATCACTGTATGGAACAATTGAGTCATGGCCTGAACCACTGACTGATCACCTGGGGAAAGCACCAAGTCAGCCCTGGGAGCACAGGGTGAAGGCAATTCACCTGTGTGAACAGAACGGGTAGAGCCCGGATCCACCTCTCTTAGACCCTATTTAAGGGCTGACTGCCACTTGGAGATGTTGGAGATCCCTCCCTTGATTGCCAGAGAACTAGCAGCGTAGCTGGTCAGAGCTTGGAGACTTACAAACTGGTAACCTGGGAGTAAATATATGAAACAAAAGAGTAAACCCTAAATCTAATGATTTGGAGGTGCAGTGCAACTGTGTAATTTAAAAACAGATGACACTCTTCAGAAAGCTGTTGACTTTCTTTTCCCTTAATCATATAGACATAGGCAGTGATTATGAAGGTAAATGGTGGCATGCACTGATGCTTACTGAAGCTGTAGCTTTCTTAGGACTTGAGGTAAGGACTTGAAGTGAAACTGAACTTGCACAGACTCAAAACTCAAAACTGTTGCACAACATCTTTGTTTTTGGAAACAACCAAACTTCATGAAAGTCAAGCAGCAATGGGCTGTCTTCATCCTATTACTGTCAATGCAACTCTGAGAAGAACAGTTTTAAAGTTATGGTTGGGAATATGACCCGAGTCACCGAAGTGCAGATTTTGGACGAAAGCACTCTCTCTTGGGGTGGCTGTGTTCATATGTCAATATGACTCCTATCTGTCCAGCACTTGCAGATTATACTTTCACTGTGTCAGTGCCTCTACATAAGTTTGAGGGAACGTAACTTCGAAGGCTTGCTCTTGATCGTTGTTTACTGTGCAGTGTTATGGTGGGAGAAAAGCTGATGCTATATGAAGGCAAAAGTGGGGTTCTGTTCAGAAATGCCAGGTGTGGTCTGTGATGGCATCTGATCACATACTCCATGAAGCCTGAACCTACCCTGTGCTGCTGCAGCATGTTCCTCATGGCCTCGCTGTCCCCTCATGCTGGGCTCCACCACCTTCCTGATCCCTGCCCTGTGGAGGCCCCAAGAGGCTCAACCACAGGCACCTCACTGACCTCAGAGAAATGCAGCAAAAAAAAGTCACCCCTTACACAGAATGTGCAAGTTTGACTTAAATACAGGCTGCCTCTTCTTGCTGTGTTCCCAAGGGTGTTTTTAAGCTAAAAGCAATTGTATAGCAAGGTTTTGAAGATCTAGAAGAAGCAGCTGTTGTGGATGTTCAGTCTTTCTCTCTCTGTATTTGTTACTTATTTATGTATTTTTTAATTTTTAAAGTAGCAGATGGAACTGCTTAGAAACAACTGAGCATAAGCAGATTGTCAGCTTGGGATGGAGAAGAGTTTTTCTTGGCCAGAATAGTGAGACAAGAAATAACCTCTGAGATGGAAATACAGTAGTTTTCTAGTTAGCTGCATAGTACAGTCTGGTTGACAGCTTTTGTAGGGGGAGACTTGCTGGTAGAGTCTTGTCCTGTGAAAGTGTGATGCCACACACTAAACTGAAGTTGCCTGCTTTTCTGCAGCATTGGTAATTCCAGTAGTGCTTTTTGCTTGTGTATCTAATAGGCATGGCTACTATGTGTCTCCTGGTAAAGAACAGGAGAACTGAAACCTCTCCTCTTCTCCTAGATGCATTAAGTGGCACTGTTGTGAAGAAGCCCAGGTTTCTCAGTTCGGAAACCAAGCACTTGTCCTCTGAGTCACCCTCTAAACCAAAGAAAGTTTTGAACTCAGTTGAGAAGGAAGAGCAGATGAAGAGAGGTAAAGTCAAATTGGCACCTAAGGTGAAGTATTGAAACGTTTTCAGCTTTTTTTTTGTTGGTAGACATCAGAGTCATGTGAAAGCTTGAGGGGGGAGAGAGATGTGGTGGGAGGATATCCTCTCCAAAAGTCAGTGTAGGAGAAGGCCTGTCTTATGGTTTGCTCACTGGATGCCACATATTTGGAAATGTAAGGAAATCTGGGGTTCCTAACCGTGATCTAGTCAGGTAGTAGTGTTTTCTATTCTTTCTGAATAGTGATTGTCAAGAGTTATTAAAAATAATTTCTTTTATAGAAAGCATACAGATAATGGACAACCAAACTGCAGTTATTGGGTAACTGACCTCTGTCATCTTGCATCGTTATCTGTAAATATGCTGCTCTGTGATAATGAAGTTGTTGTTTACATCTCCCTGTAGTATCACATGGGTTTGTTTCCCACTAGGGCCCCCAGCGTGGTACTAACCAGGCACATGCTTTCTTGTAGGTCAGGAGATGGTTGATATGAGCACTGCCTTTTTTTCCAAGATGCAGCACAAAGATTTTGGTGATTCAGGAGTGATTGCTGTATTTGAAAGTTTTACCAACCAGCTAAAGCAACTGTTCTGGGTAACTTGCACTTTCTTAATGTGTATGCCTTGGGTGGTGGTATTTTGGCTGTGGTGTCTGTTATCTTGAAGCTCTTTCAGTAGCCCCTGTACTCTCAGAAGTGCTACAGGAAGTGTAAGGAGTGAATAAAGGAAATTTTAATCAGGTTCTTCCTTTTTTCTTGTTTCTGTGCTGAAAAATAAGTTTGTTTGTTTGTTTTTTAAGGCACTTTGCACGCTCTTGTTAGAGGAAAAGAATCCAAGTTTCAGAGAAACTCAGAATAGTTGCAGTGTGCCTAAATCAGGGACATAAATAGTTGCCCTCATGGACAAATATCAGAAATATGAAAGCTTTGTTTTAGAGCACAAACTCCATAGGTTTCTACTAATGAAAAATAGGAAGCAATGCAGACTGCATCTAGTCACTGGAACACAGGTAGATCTACAAGGACGTGTTTGTATCTCCCAGATCACAGGTTTGCAGAGGTGGTGGTTTCTCAGTGAGTAATATGTATGCTGCATATTGTTGGTTCACTCACAGTGTGGATGTACTTGAGATGCAGTGTGGGGAGCCTACTGTTACTGTCAATTTAGCTTTAATGAGTAATGATGGCATAAACCCAAGTTTAGTATAAGAGCATGCTATCAGAAAATCTTGTTATAAAGCTTTAAACAAGCCAGGCTCTCACCCTATCAGATTTATATGGGATTGACACTTTGTACCAGGCAGCAATCCTGGAGCTTCTATACTTTTAAAAATTATGTCAGTGTGTGTTCATGGAAATGTTTTGCAAACTGGATTTTTAGGCTTGGGGCTGTACCACTTGCCTGCTCCTAATGGTGTGTTCTGTTGTCAGTCCAGGTACAAAGAGATGGAGATGTCTGCACAGAACACACTGAGGACTTCTGAGAAGAATGTTTCAGCTCTGCTGAAAGAGATTCACAAGTGCAGGTGAAGTGTCTGCTGAATGGAAGCATCTTCAGCTCTGTGCAAACTCTGATTTCTTACAAAGAAATGCCTCTTTGTGAGAGGGCCTGACCTCTATGGTTTTTAAGGCAAAGTTGGTTGTCTGTCTTTTCTGTAAGGAGAGTTTCAGAAGCATGGCTTCATTCCTCTTCTCTTTTAGAGGTACAGGAGTTGGTTGATTTCAGTGCAAAGAATGCTTGAGTTAGGAGTGACTGAAGCTATTGACTTCTTGTCATCATCACCGTTAAATAGATCTGTAGAACAAGGATTTTGAACTTAGCAGCTTCTCTTGGGATGTTTCAAGAGAGTGAACAAAGGAGGCAGGCTGATTCATTTTAAGAAGTGGGGGAGAAGTACTAGGGGGGGTTATTTATCCATGCTTTGTTATACAGCCACTTCTGTGGATTGTCTCTGTGGGGGGTGGGGGGGGGGGAAGTCAGCTAAAGGACTTTCAGGCAGTTGCCCAATGGGCTTTGCTACCCATGAATTTGCTGTAAGCAAAATAAAAACATGACTGAAGTTACATATAAGCCTATCAAACCTCTGTATCTGCTACACTTTGTGGGAGTTACGATAAGCGTAGTATGAAATAATGTCCTTCGTTTAATAATTGTACTGGGAACTCTGCTGTATGCTCTGTGCTGAGCCCCAGGACCAGCATGTAGCTAACCAAGCCTCTGATTTGGTGTGGGACAGCTATTTGTGTGCTCTGAGAGCAAATCTTCTCTGTTAGTTTCAGCAAGGAGGTCTGACTACAGGTGGATTCTGTGCTGAAGGCACATGGGGGTGTCCACAGCTTTGCTCTCCTACACCCTGAAGTGTTGAACCTGTCTCTGTTTTCTATCACTAGACTGAACAAGCTGGAAGCCTTCAAGAAGATTGTTGTGGAAGAGCTTGCCAGCCTTGAGAAAGATACTCAGATCTTGAGGAACATGGAGAAGGATGCAGTGGTGTGTAGTACTCCTCTTGTGCCAGTTCCTAGAGTGTCCCTTCTAAATTAATGGGATTTTCTTTGGGCTCTCTTTAGGACTTCTGGAACGCACAGCTGCACAAACTGAATTCTTTCTGCAACCAGCAGAAGCAAAGGTACACATTTACCTGTTGTCCACGCTGCTCACAGGTTCTCTGGTGGTTGAAGTTAGCCTGAAGGTGGTGTGGCACCTCCACTTAGTGCTCATTGACAGAGTCTTTGCAGCCCATGAGGACCTTAAACTGCCACTAGGACTCAGTGAGGGATTCTGCATGGGAGGTTGTGTATGATGGGCATGCACTTGGAGAGGTTGAGTCTGGAATGCACACCATATAGAGTCACCATATAGATCTCTATACAGGGATCAAAGAAGGTGACACTTCTGTGTTTAAAAATAATAATAATAATAAAATAATAAAAAAAGCTGATGTTACCAGTGCTGGGCACAAAGCTGTGAAAAGGATAATCCTAAATTTAGTTTTTTATTGTTAAATATCACTGTTTTATCTGTAAGCAATAGATGCCTAACAAACCAACTCATCTCAGCTAACTTTCCCCATAGAATTCAGTCTGTTGATTCAGCCCTGGGTGAGACAGCTGAGAGTTTTGCCAGTACAATTGTCAACACCACAGTAAGTGCCATTTCTGTTTAAAACTGAGTGTTAAATTGTGCTGAGAAGGTTCTTATTGCTTTTGTTATGATTGGTTTAATTGGGGAAATGGGAGGGAAAGCAAAGTGGCCAAAAATCACTTGCCTAAGGGAGAAGATAAGGACGAAGACCATCATGTGGTGATACTTTTCCTTAGTACATAGCTGAGGGATTCCTTTGTCCACAGGTTCTTTTGGTGTTGTTAGGGATCCTTGTAGCTAGTTAGGGAGAAGATTCCTTTATGAGCACTGAGCTATCAGAATATAGGGGTACAGAATTGCCCCTGGTTAAGGGACTGGAAGAGCAGCAAGCACATGTGGAATTAACAAGGAGGTTACAATTGCATCACGGGAGCTGCTCATCCTGCAGCACCTTATTCCAGGCCAGGTATTAGGCAATTAAAAGCTGAATTTAAGTATTCTTAGCTCTCTGCAACTCTTATCTTGCACAACATAAAAATCTGTACAAACTTGAAATGTTTTTCTTACCTTTTTTCTCCCCTACAGCACCATGTCTCAATGAAGACTGCAGTAGAGAATGGTGTATTTGTTGTTCCTTCTGACTAGCAGCCCTCTGATTCACTGGAGTGTTTGAAAATGCAGATAAGATGATCTTGTGAAGGAGATGATAATCTATTTTAAATGGAAAGAAAAATAGGGAAAGAGAAAATAACATTGATAGTGAGCTTTTGTTCTTATTTGGTTTAAGAATAGCTTATGCTAGTTGAATTGTTCCATTTTGACCTGTGTCTAAAATGTTGTTCCTGCAAAACTGTAAGATAGGCTCATTAAATACCAAAGAAATAGAAAATGAACTAAGTATAGTGACTGCCAACAAACTGATGCACATGGGCCACTAAGCTCTGGACTGCAGAGAAGAAAGCATGAATGGATCTACTGGATTTTGGCCATGTGCCTGGCAGCATTCTGCAGACTAAAGGGCAACAAACCTGGAGCATTGCAGACATAAAGGCAAGTGAAACTAGTGAAATTATTTCTAAATCCAGTAATTATTGCTTGCTGTACTTTGTACTCTCCCAGAAGCCAATGTTAGGATTAGATAAGTAACACCAAAGGTCTCTTGAAAACGAACAGCAGATAAACTGTGCTATTTAACATCATCCTCTCTTTCAACAAGTTGGTTTCCTAAATTGCAGTTGCTCTTCACAGCATTAAATGCAGCTTGTGACAAACTTCACTTGTGCTGCTGCATCTTAATGAATGTGTGGGAATGTGGCGTGGTTCCAAGCTCTGTTTCTACCTACTTGCCTTGCAAAACAGACCTCATGTTGCTGTGTGAGTTAGAAGCAAGGGAATCTCCCCTGCACACATTGTGCCTGCATGGCAAAAGTCCAGCTCTGCCAGAGTTGTTTCATCACTGAAAGCCTTCAGGTAGCTGTGCTTGCTCCCTCTCAAAAAGGTTGCAGTGTTATACCTGAACTGAGAACAGTGAAAATCCACAGCTGCTATTGCTGAAACACTTCCTGCACGTGTAGTGCTTGTTCCTTTTGCTGAAGTATTCCTGGGCTGGTGTGAGATAAGGCTGCACTTCCCTTTATGTCAAGGGGTGGCTGGTTCTTTCCAAGTTGATTTAAAAGCAAAGACTTATTCACTCCTGCCCTTCCTACAGATCCAGAACCACTGGTCTGCCTTCTACCATTTGTAATGTGTGAAAGACTGGAGCTGCTATTTTGTGACTGCTGGTTTGCCTGCATTTCCTTGAGGGCTGTCCCTGGTTACCTGACTATGGTGCATCCTTCTGCTGCTCTGCAGGGTCTTTACAGCAGTCACTGAAACTCTGCTTTTGTAACCTGTGACCTTGGGCACTGTCACCTCCTTTGAGGGACAGACGTTGTCTTGCCTGGCTTAGGCTTGTTCACCTCCTTCAACAGCATGTTCATTGTGCAAAGGGAAGGTTTGACACAGGAATCATAGTGAGAAATAAGGGCTCTCCCTGACTTAGGGATCTTTTTTTTTTTCCCCTCAAACTATGATAGCAATGACCATTCATTTCTGAGATTCTTTTTGGTGGTTTTACTTGTTCTCCAGGTTAGAGCAGCCAAGCATGTAAGTTTTTGTGAGCACAAGGGAATAGATGTTGCAAGTTCTGTTTTGCTATGTCTCCCCACTGTTGGTGGATGGTGATAGAACACTATTTTCATATCACCTATAAATGTAAAAATAGGCATGTTTCTCATGTAATTATCTGTGGTAGGGCACTTAGAGGAATAAAACTGCTGCATAGTGTATTTCTTGTTGAATCCCTGTGTAATCTGTTAGTAAAAAGTTTGGAAGGTGTGTTGAGCAGTTCAGGTGGCTTGAATAAGGAGAAAACATCCTCTTTCACTGAAGCATGTATGCAACAATGGTAACTTTTATTGCTTTTAATTATTTTACTGGACTCCATAAGGCTGCTTTCCATGTTAGGGTAGGATGGGAGAGGGGGCAGAGCTGCCATATAGCTTAAATGATACTTTCCCCACCAGTTCCTTTCTATCCTTTTATATGAAATGTTATCTACTGAGCAGCATAACAAGTTAAGCCTGACAAGCTCTGAACAGCCTGAGCTGGGAGGGTGTGCTGGAAGCTTTGGTCTTTCCCAGTGGTCTTCACATTTGTGTCAGCAGCGCGTACAAGTATAGACAATATCTGGGTCAGGAATGGTCTCCTGTGTTTGGACAGCCCATCTCGTGCCATTTCCCATGCTGTTGGGTCAGTGTGGTAGCTGAAGTCCATTTGGCTTCTGCAGGTGATGTATTGCAAAATGGCCTTGTGCAAGTTACCCTAAAGTTTTCCACAAAAGATCTGTTTGCTGACCCTGGTTTTTCTGTTGTTTGTTTGATTTCTTCTGAGCTGGTCTTATCACTTACTGATGCTTTTCATCAGCTCAGTGGTGCTCTTGTAAGAATTACTGAGTAAGTTACTTTTTTTTTTTTTTCCCTCCCTTTTTTTTGAAAGTAGATAAAGCTCAATTTTCATCCTGTTCTTCTGAGTGAGGACAACAAAGATGAGTTTCACCCCTGGGTGCTGAAGATGTGTGAAGGCATCAATATGCAGAGAAAAAAGCTGGAGAGATAGAGTGTGTGTTCAGGACAACTACTTCATACTTGTTAAGTTCTTGATCAGCTTAATAATAAACTCTTAAAGGCCCTGCTGTATCTTTTGGGGAATGATGCTGGGCCAAGTTCTTGTTTGTCTGCATGCTTTACAGTAGTAAAATGGGCCAGCCAAGGTCTGGACTTGTGCTGCCCATTGCAGGAAGCTGTATGGCACTGTGACAGGGTGTCTTCTATAACTGGAATACACTGGCAGAGTGACCAGGAGCTGTGTACCCACGCTTGGCCTGCCTGTGGTCAGCTTGCCCTGCCCCTGGCTGTTTCCACAAAAGTGGTGCACATGTTTGTGTAGTGAAAGCAAATGCAGCAATAGGAGCCTTCCTTGTCACGCAGACTGACTTTTATGTATTGCAAGCAAGAGTCGAGAAAACATTCCCAATAGCCAGTTGGTTAGGGGAAGCCCTACAAAGCTGGGGCTGAGTGCACAGCAGCAGCCTGATTTCTTTCCTGTCCTTCTGGTATTCATGGAAGGACCTTCCAAAAGCTCATTTTTCTACCTCTTCATTTCCCATTATCCAAAACTAGCAAACCAAACTCAATAGCTTTCTCTCTTTCGTTTTGCTTCTCACTCCTTCTGCACATAAACGTGCCCTGTGGTGAGCCCAAAGCTGCAGGGCCAGGGTTTGTGCATTATCCTCTGTACTTTCAATGTGAAATAAATGATATTTTTGAGATTGTTTTCAGTTGAGACCTGGTAGCAGAAAAACTGAGAGAGGCAGAGTTAGAATCAATCTGAGAATCAGATGACCTGGCCAGAAAGTATGAGCCTTGAACAAGCAAGTTGTTCACATGCTGGCTTTATTTGATAGGTAAGTTTCTGCAGGTAGTGGTAGAGCATGGAGATTTAAGAGGTCTCACCTTCAATACCTTGCAAGATTAAAATTGTGTGAATTGTTTTGATAGTTAAATATAACGTTAGGTCAGAATAGATGCAGTGTACATGGCGTTTCTGTGGATGCCACATCTGAATTTGTAAGTTGGCCAGAAGTCTTAGAGATGGATAAATGTAACTCCCCAAACCCTGGTGTCACTTTGAGAACAGCCCTCCTTTCTGAGCAACTGTGATTCCTTGCAGGGCATTACAGCTGTGAAGAAGTTGTGTATGTACCTTGCGGGTGTATTTGGGGATTTTGATGTATTTAGGGAGGATGGGTCACTTAGTTTTATTGATTGGATTGTTTTGGAGTAGAAGAGATTTCAAAATTTGTTGCCAACATAGTTTTTGGTAAGTAGACATTCAGGAAAACAACTGTAACAAACTGCAATGCAGATGATGAATGACTGGTGGAAAAATTGCTGCGGGACAGTTTGGTGTAATGTTTGATCTTTCATGGATCCTGTGTAGGTGATGCTGACACCTAACCAAGGGAACCGTATCTGTGAGTCTTTAGGTCTGCTTCTGTGTAGAAGCACCTTCCCTGGGCTCGAGCACTCTACAGGAGGAGGCTGCTGTTGGCAGCAAGAGGCCCTTGTTACACCCATCCAGTAGAACAGTAACACCATGTGGGAACTGCACCTATACACAGCAAAAGAGAGTTTGTGTAGGAGAGAGGAGCAAAACACCTACTGAAGGACTACAAAGATGTCAAATGCACAGAGGTTGTCATTTTCCATGAATGCAGTTTGAAGCATCCCATGAATGTGTTGCCTGAAGCCCTGATAAGCTTGTGTGTGGGTAGGAGCAGCTTTCAGACCAGTTCTGTGCAACCATCAGCTCCTACATTGCCTTGCTCATTCTGACTCTGACATCAGCTTTTTCCATCCATGATGACAGGCCTTGCCTCTTTGTGGTCACATCTAGCACAGGGGCTTAAAGCAACATTCCAAACTGCTTCAGTAAAGTTGGAGATATTTTTGTGATGGCTTGCTTGCAAGCTAAACATTTTTTTAAAACTTGTAATATCTTTTATTTTTTATGACAATAAAACTCTAGACTTTTTTGGTTTTCTTTTTGTGTGAGACAATGACAGTCTTTTCTTTTACTGTCCCATCTGAAATTCCATGGCTGAACTGACTCCAGATTCCCTTTTTTTTGTTGTTGTTGTTGTTAGTTTCAAAGAACTGCTGGAGTGATGTTTTCTTCCACCCCCTAGGAAGCATGTGTCAATTAAAAATCTCTCTTAGTTGCCAACTTTGTGCACCAGTACCAGCCACTGGAAATTCATATGCTTCTTCCTAGGCCGTGTTGATTGCTCCTTTATTTACTTTTTTTTTCCTCCCAGGTAGAGCTCTTAAGTGAGCTATTTTAAAGCCTTTATGTAACAAAAGCATTAGGCACAAGAAAGTGTATTACTAGAAGGGAAGCCTGTACCCATTAACAGGGTTCCACAGAATGGTTAAACCAAACTCCTTTCCTCTGCATATTGGTATGTTTGGAATGCATCAACCATGATTTGCCAAATATGCCTCGTTATGCCTTCATGCCTTCATACAAAGCAAAATCTAGAGGTTTCATGCTGTTGGTGATTGCCTGCTGTCAGGTTTGTCTGGATGTGTCTGCAAGGCCTCTGTGCTCTGGATGGAATCAGCAGCTCCTTCTGGTCTAGCATTGCCTGCAAATTTGCACAAAGCGCCTTCTAGTCCTACATCCAAGTCATGCATCTGAATAAAAAAACCAGAGGAATGAAGACAGGAGCCTGCATTGCATTTTGAGCCACTACTAAGAGGTAGGGCTGCTGTACCGGGGCAAGGGCATTCAGTTTGCAAAAAAAAAAAAAAAAAAATTGAAGAGGAAGTGTAAGAAAAATCCCTTGTTTGCACACTCTAGGAAGCCTCTACCTACCAACATCAATTGTGTGTATGCATTCAATGTGCAGAAATACCACCTGTCCCATCAATGAGGGCAGAGCAGAGCCAACACCTGTACGAAAACCACAGGGGAGTTTTACAGCAGCGTGAGTGGGGCTGGTGGGTGGTTACAGAGGACGTCTCTCACTCTGAACTGAATGGCCTCCAAGCTTATGAAAAATGAGTAGTCTCAAATAACTATTTTATAGCAATTTTGTGTCTTAAATGGAAGGGAAACACTCTGATATTAAAACTTGTTTATTTACATTGTTACATTTTACAGGAAAATCGGTTTAAGAAGTCACTGCTTCTTTTTCTTCATAGTTGCAGCATTTTGAAGATGTTAAGACAGATTTGAAGGATTTAAAATACATCTTATTCCAGCCTTCCTGACTGGCCTGGATCTGCAAGGTGAGACCATCTTGGTGGTGGTTGGTTTTTTTCTTCCTTTCTTTTCTTTTTTTTTTTTTTTTTTTCCCCTCAGCCCTTTGAGCTTCAAGTAAGGCATTTATTTTTTTCTTTTCTTTCTTTTTATGAGGTTTAAGCAAAACAAAAGACAATCAATTCCTGTGAGGTTTGTTGCCATAATGTACTTTAACTTTTAACGTGCTTATGTTGTCCATGCTGGTAGTTAAATACCATTTACATTGAAATGTAAAAGGACTCTGTTCATCCTAATACCCGTGCTTGGACATGCAACCATTTGTTGCCTTTCATAGACAAATGGTTCAGCTGTTTGCCTGGTGTTCTGCTTTGCTGGTTCTTATGATATTCTCTGCCTTTATGCTTTCTAGTGGTGGTCCTTGTCTTATGCTGATATCTGCAGAGGTTGGAAGCTTCTACTGGTCAAACACCTGTTCTTCCCCCAGTCTGTATGACTTCTTTATGCCCTTTCCTTGCTCTCCATAAGCACTTACTGTGGCTGCAGCCATGCTGTTACCAGCTAGGCTGGCCAGCCAGCCTCTTGTCCTGGGACAAGACTTCCTCCCTTTGCACCTACTGTCTCCAAGACCCCCATGAAGATCAGCTCAAGGGGAAAACTGGCTCGGGATGTGGAGAAAGATCAGAGGAACAGGACTTGATGGAACGCTTCCTCTCTCTGTGGGTCCATGCTGCTGTTTGGTTCCCTGTTTTGTTCCCTGCTGGCTCTCAGACACATGATCTGATTTTTTGGGTGGTTCTTTGTAGAGTCAGGAGTTGGACTCAATGATCCTCAAAGAATCATTAAAGTTGGAAAAGACCTAAGATCATCTAGTCCAACTGCCAACCCTTCCCTACCATGCCCTTTAACTGTGTCTCTTAGTGACACATCTACACATTTCTTGAATACCTCCAGGGACTGTGGCTCCACCAATTCCCTGGGTAGCCTGTGCCAGTCAACCACTCATTAAGAAGAAGCTCTTCCTAATATCCAACCTGAACCTCTCCTAGTACAACTTGAGGCTATTACCTCTCATCCTATCACTAGTTACTTGGGAGAACATGCTGACATCTCACTCTAACTTCCCTTCAGGTCACTGTAGAGAGTGATAAGGTCTTCCTGGAGCCTCCTCCAGACTGAACAATCTCAGTTCCCTCAGCTGTTTCTGTAAGACTTTGGATTACTTAGGATCCTGTCCAACTCAGGATATTCTACGTTCTGTTGTATTCTATGGCTTTGCATGCGTGGTTCCTTTCCTTTCTAACTGGGATCCCACAGGGTGATGGGAGGGCTGTCGTGATCACAAAAGGGTTTTTGTGGAGAGAATTTAAATACACCAGGCTGGAGGAGCCCACAACTATTTCACTGTGGAAAAGGGGAAGGACAAGAGGCTGTGACTACTTTGTTAGAGACTTTGAAGGGGGCTAGGTTAGAAAAAGGCACAGCAAAGGTTCCCAAAGCTAACCTAAGCTGTTTTTAATTTGTAATCGTTTAAGTGGGAAGTAAACACAGCCAATTGAAGCAGCAGCACTCTGCTGGGTTTTTTTGTTTGTTTGTTTGTTTGTTTTTGTGAGACATGGCATCACAACTGCAGGCTGGAAATTGATTTGCTTTCCCTACTGTAGAAAGTGCAGGAATTCCTTTATGATGTACTTGGCTCCTTTTGAGGTTTACTTCAAATGCTTCCTTCACCTTTTGTGAATATTTAGCACATTTTTTTTTTTTTTTTCTTCAGATAAAGTATTTGTATATGGTCAACTTTGAGCATGTTTACACTCCAAGAACCTATCTTCTCTAAGTTGATGAGCTCCAGTTTATTCCAAAATCCATTTATCATAGAATGGCTTAGGTTGGATGAGACCTTACGCATCATCTAGTTCCACCCCTTTGCCATCCAACCTGGCCTCAAGCACTTGAAGTGATGGGGAATCCACAACCTCTCCAAGCAGCTGTGCCAGTGCTTCACCTTCCTCTTAGTGAAGAGTTCCTTCCTAATAACTAATCTGTATTTCCCCTCTTATAGTTTAAAACCCTTCCTCCTTGTCCTATCAGTATCAGACTGTAAGGAGTCGGTCTTTCTCCTCCTTATAAGCTCCCTTCAAGTATTGGCAGGCCCCAGTAACATCTCCTCGGCACCTTCTCTTTTCTGAGCTAAACAAGTCCCACTTGCTCAGCCTGTCTTCATAGGAAGAAGTGCTCAAGGTGTCAGTCTAGCAGAGCCCTAACCTTTTGAAGACTCTGAACGTTTCCATCCAGTGCTTTATAAGGTGTTTTTATGCCAGCAGTACAAATCACGAATATTTTCTTTTTCACGTGAGAAAGATGTTGGCCTTATTGTTCTGATGGTGTTCTATGACAGGGCAAATAAACTTACTGTGTTAAAACTTAAATAGCAATACATTAATGAGTGTCTGGTACAAATAACCGGTAGATATAATCAAATAAGTTTTAAGCTAAAGCCTGTAATTCAGTCTCTTGTTTCATTTTTTTCTTTTCTTTTCTTTTTTCTTAGAAAAAAGAAGATCCCAGGAAGTACTGTACTTATTGTGCTTTCTTATTGTTCAGGAATCCATTTGAAGCAGCAAAGTAGTTCTTATGGAATCCATTCTTGACTTCTGTTGTGACAGGGGTTTCCTTTGCAGCTGTTCTTGAAGGTGCTTTCTGGTATGTCTACAAAAGCAAAATTTTGAGTAGCTAGTTGCATTTGTTTAAAGCAATAAAAGCTGAATACTATTTCTGGTTAACTGTAAAATAGATGCCTAGTGTTTGTTGATGTGGATATACACTTGCTTCACACTTTAAGAGAACAGCATTAGTTTTGCTGCTGCACATGATATAACCTGACTAGTATTACCTGTAATACTTCTTGGTGTCAAGAAGGATTTTAAGCCTTTCTCACTGGATGTTGTATGTATGCAGGCAGGCTGGAACAGTCCTTGCTAAAAACGTGTATATTCACATATAGATGTGAGTGTGAACTTATTTTAAGTACTGACCCTTGTTCTACCTGTTTGGCATACGGTTTGCAGCAAGAGCAATCTGCAAAAATGTTTTCCCCCTCTCCTTGTCCTTCTCAAAAGGGGAAAGAGAGAGAGAGGCTGCTTACCTTAATGTAGAAGTTAACGAAGAGGATGACCAGTGTGGCCATGTAGGAAGACTGGAACATGAGGCAGCCAAAGGGAAACCCACACGGCTTCACAGCTGCACTGAGCGTGTGCACAATGGTGAGCAGGAACTGGATCTGGAGTAGAAAGATCGTGCCTGAATGTTTACTAAGGAAGGACTGACACAGCTAAATCCTGTGTAATAACCTTACCTAGTTCTGCTCTTTGAAACTTGGAGCGGTTCCTTTCTGAACACGTGAATGTATTGTGAGGGTTAGGTTAAAATGATGCTCTTATGACTTTAAAAAAAAAAAAGATAATGGAGCTGGATGTTTCCAGGAGTTTTTAGGTCAAATGGTTGGCAAAATGAAAGCTCTTTTAATAAGGGATTGTTATGTCTTCTAGGCTGTGTCATGCAAGTACAGTGTTGTCTCTGGGCAGAAACCTGAGAAAACACTGGAGACTTGAAGCAATAGCTTTACAAGTCTGAACAGAAAAAAGGAAATCCAAGGTGCAAGAAGGTTAGACAGATTGGTGTTAGTCAGGGACAGGGAAAAACAAAGTAAAAATGGCAGAGAAGGGGGGGGCTGTCAATGTTTAGGGCTGTGAACCACAGCTTCTATCTTGTTGTCCAAGAGCTGTTTATGTCATCCTCTATTTTATAGTTGTATCGTAGTTACATATCTTGTTAGAAGGAATCTCATTCTCACTTGAATGAGACACCAATAATAATAAAAAAAAGTGACAATTTTTGAGCATCATTCCAGTTACTAAATTTTACTGGGCTGTACTAATGAATTGACCTTCATAATAGCTTTGTTATAATTTAATGCTACAAGTGTCAGTATTTGCTTGCCATTCCTTTTGCTCCCTCTGGCATTTCTGAAGAATTTCTGTCAATTAAAAATGAAAGCAATGTAGACACATACCAGCTGTGCCTGGGTGAGGTATTTCTTCCACCACAGATACTTTCGCATAGAAGGGATGACTGACAGTCCGTAATAGGAGTACATGAGCACATGGATAAAGCTATTCAAAGTGGGTCCAAAGAAACCTATAAAAATGCAATGCAGAAAGCATTTTATGATATAAGCTGCTAAAAAGCGACAAGATGTCATTACTGTACACAGGAGGTGTTGCTGAGTAATGTTCACTTTGTGCTGTGGGTGCATCTCAGCTTGCCATTCTGATGCAGCAGTGAGTGCTTTACCCTGTCTCTGAATGAAGCTTACCTGCTGTGACTTTATTGTCACAGCAATCTGAGCATTGCTCTTGCTTTATTCAGTGGCTAGTTTTCTTATTTTCTAAATTTTCTTATGAACTCTGATAAGGCTGCAGGGAGCCTCCACTTGTACAAAGCCCTGGAAAAGTGTGTTATGAGACACT